ATAGCAATCATTTCGTCACCCAGAAGTACCCTGTTCTTTATGGCAAAGAGATAAAAACATCAAAGTTAAAATATGGTCCCATCCCCCAAGACTTTTTGACATCTTACAGGCTGACGTTTTCGTTTCTCATGGTGCTTCTTCAACATCATCTTTAAATCACTTTCCCCAAGTTCTATCTTGTCTGCAATGAAAATAATTATTTGCAGAGTTTTCCTCTATTGTTACCTTCCACAGTTCTTAGAATGCCATTTTCTATCCATTTACACTTCCAGCAATCTCCAAATTTCAGTAACTAATTTCTCCATATATGAATTTCCTTCATTCATTCATCCATTCATTTCAGTGCTTCATTCAGTCATCAGACTTCACTGCTGATGTAAGCATGGAAAAGAAGCCAGAACCAGCTTAAAGAGTTTGCAGAATTGATTACAGTCACTATAGGAGGAATTCTTAAGTATTTTGAACTGGACTATGCTAATGCTTCAACCACTAAAGGCAAAATATAACAGAGGAATCAGTAATATTACAGAAACTATGACTCTTGTGTTCAAATACTGGCCTTGCAAGAAGAAAAAGATTAAACTGGGAAAACAGCAAACTATTTTGGAGACTGCAAAAATGAAGCATCACATGATTTCCCATCAAACAACAGATTTTAAAGGTGATTTCTTGCAAGATTTCAAGGTAATTCTCCCCCCTCTATCCATACTGACCTTTTCATTGGTTCTCACCTGCAGTTTTCATGTCCAAGGTTGACAATGTGGGGATCACTCTCAGGGGAACTGGTGGACTTGAACAACGTGCTGGAGAAGTTGGAGGCCAAGAGATTAGATCTGAAACAGAGGTATAAATTCACTTCTGCAAGACCCATCACCAATCTATTACCATGTGTTCATTAGATCCCAGCCAGTGGAAGTAGAGCCCAGAATCCAAAATGCGTCTTTTTCCATTCACACCTGAAGTCTTTAGTTCAGCCCAGGGCATTACCTTCTTCATCAGAAGACAAGGTAGTGTCTCCACACTCCTCTTTCACTTCCCTCAGGATCTTCAAGTAGCGCCGATGTGTCCGTCTGTCTCGTTCTTCCGAGTCGTATGTTGGTGGGAAATGCTTTCTCCTTAGGGTCATGTCAGGGCCTCCCTTCCTGGCTAATTCCAGCAAGTGCTGAAAGGAGAGATTCATGTGACATTAGCTAAGTCAGCTGCAGTGCTGTAAGCCAGGACAGGTAAGCCCAGCTCAGATAACTTCCAGCAAGATTACCATGCGGTTCCATCAGCACCTCAGATCTGTACAAGGAGAACCTCAGGAAGGATCAGTATCTGCCACACACAGGATTTTAAACCTAGCATTTTAGACCATCATTTAAAGGGGAGAAAAAAAACTAGGTGAAATTTCTGTACCTTCTTCTGCACACATAACACCATCTGTCATTTTATGTGATCTGTTGAGAAGAACTTAAATGATCGGTGTGAGGTGTAGTTTCCACACAAATATGTAATGATGTGTCCTTTCAAAAAACCATTTTACTTCTCATGGCTACAGAGGAAATAACTTCCTTTTACCTCTCATGGCTACAGAGGAAATAACTTCCTATGTATTCCATATTGTTGCCCAATTAAGTTGTGGATGGCCCATCCCTAGAAGTGTTCAAAGCCAGGAACAACCTGGTCTAGTGAAAGGTGTCCTTGTCCATGGCAGGGGATTGGAATGAGAGGAGCTTTAAGGTTTCTTCCAACCCAAACAATTCTGGGATTCTCTATTTCCCACAACACTGTAGGCCATTTTATGAAGACAGACTTTCTTCTTCATCCCTACATACCAAATGTCTCAATGTCTAAGTATAATGAAAGATAAATGAGCAATAAACACATTTCAGCTGGCAAAAATTTGCTCACAGAAGTATCCACAGAGGAAGACTTTACCAGGGATTTAAGAAATGAGAATCAGAGGTTTAGATCCACGTATTTTCTAACTGTATTTAGCAACTGTAGTTGCTTCAGAAATGGTAAACAAAGGCAGAATGACTTGTTAAGAAAATAACAAGTTGTAAAGGTGCAAATGCAGGAAGTGGGAACAAGGTGGGCATGAAAAGAAGACAGGTCACACAAGTGAAAGCTATGAGAGTTACAGAACCTGAAATCTGCAAATACAGCAATGGGTCTGGAGCTCTCTCTGACCCACTGGAAAATTCAGAAGCATTACTCATTCAGTTCATTAAAGAAAAGGCCTCAGAGAACTGTGACTGCACCAAGACACTTTTAATAAAAACAAGTTATTCATCCCAGAGCACACTCACATTGCGGGAAGCGAGGATCTGCTTGAGCAGCCTATAGAAGTACTGCTGCTGGGCACTGAGGTAGCGCTTGTACTGCGACTTGTAACAGAGCTGCCGGTACTTCACCACCTCGGGATTGAAGTGGCCGTCTGTAACAAAGACAAAACACACACCTGGATTTTCAACTGCTAGCTGAGAACTTACCCCAAACCCGCAGGGAAGCTCACGAGGCTGACTGACCCCGGAAGAGTTTCTGGGCGATGTGCAGCGGGTTCCCAAACCGGAAGTTCACCCCACTGAACAGCGCTGAGATGACCTTGTTCTGATGCTCTCGGTTGTTCTCAGGGAAGTGAGGCAGGAATTTTTTTAGGTGCTCTTGCTGCTCATCTGTCAGGACCTCCTGCCACGTTGACAAGCTGACAACCTCAAAAAAGATCTCAGGCTAAAGAAAGCAAGAAATAGCAGTAAAGAAAATGCAGCCACATCTTTGACCATTTTCTAGCCCTTGAGGCTTTTTAAGTAACACCAGTCATGAGACAGTGTTTTATAAAACACAGGAAACAGGAGAGCATAAAAAGGAAAGGTCAAGAGATTGATAGTACTAACAAGAAAACAAATTCAAAGCCTGCAACAATGTTCTTAAAGGCAATTTAAAAATAATAAGAACATAACAGAATCGATTTAAAAGATACTGTCCTGAGATTAATCAAACACTTGACACTTTTCCCAAGGCAGTCAAAAACACCTCCCCTTTCCAGTTTGCTCCATAAGCCCCGAAAAGGGAGTTAAACATGTTGATTATACCGAGGTTATGATAAGGTGAAGTGTCTCAGCACTACTCACATCCTCCAGGAGGTCCTCGGGCAGACTGACCCGGGTGGTGCCCAGCATGCAGTCCTCCATGATCCGTGTGCAATTGCCCTCCAGCTCCAGGGGGTCTGTGAGCATGTGATCCAGGGAATCCATCCTCCAGCCCTCCTGCTCCTGGACAATGACAGCAAAACCCTCAACAAACAAAAATCCCAAACCCAGATACATCAGATACATCCATCCTGACGTGAGGAGTGACGGAAGACCCACCTTTGATGGGTGGTTGTTTAAATGGAAGCTATGGAGCTGGCCTGCAATATCTGTGTATATATATATATACATATGTATGTGTGTATGTATGTATATACACACATACGTATATATATATATGTCAAACCCATACATACACACACATTTATATACATAAAACACACATAGAGAAGTATTTACTCTTCAATTACAACACAGGTCACGCCAATGGTGCTTTTCCAGACAGGTAGATTGGGAAGTACAGCTGACCCATCACACTTTCCTTCCCACCTGCAGGAACTGTTTTCAACACTGCTAAACACCAGGACAGACTACATTTAAATCCTGAAGGCGGTTTTAAGGTGCAGAACCGAAGGTCAGGTCTAAGGTGGGGTTTACCTAAGGTTGAAGGTGTGACAGGGCCAGGAGCCCCGGCTGCTCCGGCGCGACACAGCCGGACCGCTCTGAGCTGCGAAGAAACGAATAAAACACGCGAAATAAAGAAAAGGGCAATAAACCCCCGCAATAAACCGGGTAGGACAGGAAAGAAAACAGAAAACCAGGCTTATTCCATACCCCTCACGCGGCCCGGCCGAAGGCGGAAGGCGGCGGCGCTGCCGCGCCTGCGCGAACGCCCCACCCCGCTGAACTGCGCCTGCGCGCGGCCCCGGAGTCGCGACAGGCCGGAGCAGCGCAGCGGCCTGCAGGAGGACGAGGTTGTAACTTCCCCTGAAAATGCCGTAGTTGTGGAGTGCTGAAGCCACCTATCAGTCGCAGATCTATACGGTTTGACTGCATTCCTGTGCAGTGAATTAGTCATTGAGATGCTGTGCTAATATTACAATGAAGTGTTGAAAGGCTGAATATTTTGAATTGTAATGCAAATTTTCATACAGCAAATGGAGGTTCTTCCTGTCTCCCCACGCCTTTACCCACTGCCAGCCCCCTCCAAGGACGCGCATTAACGGTTTCCAGAATAACACTAATTTAATAAAATCTTGATGGGTTAAGGTTCAGGATTGCAGGTGGCAGTAAAGCAATGTGCAGACAAGCTCTAATCTGTGACACAACCTGGCACACAATAAATCACAAGAGTGCAGGTCTTGCCCAAGGACCGAGATGCAGATTCAGTGCAGAAGTTATGATGGACTCTTCCCAAACTTCTCCCTCTTTTAAACTTGTTCTTATACTTTCTTTACATTTAGGTGAGCTTGAGTAACTTGAGTCACACATCTTAGTGATGGTCATACCTTGGGAGTGGATATGTCAGGATAGTACCTGAAATAACCCTGGGATGGGGACATGAGTCACTCCTAGAGGGATTTTGCCATGGTTTGCTGGTTCAACAGACATCATCCTTAACTCCCTCAGTTTTCAGATGCTGTGCAGCTGATCAGCTAGAAAGAATTTTAAACTTTACCTTTTAAATTTAAAAATAGTTTTTAAAATTCCTTACGTTGCAAGGGTTTAAACAGACACAGGGCCTCACTCCACTCTCCCTTGGACTGTGTTGTGGGAGGTCAGAAATTCTGTGATCCATCCAGAGAGTAGCAAATGTATTTTTCCCTATAACCTCTATACTGTTATCATCCTATGTATCCACACCCCACTTCACTCATCCTTCACTGAACACCTTAGCCCAATGAACAGATTGGTCATCGCAAGTGATTAAAAAAAAAAAAAAGAGAAACAGATTTATTATTTTCAGGTTGGTTTGGTTTTTTTTTTTTTTTTTTACACCTGCCAGGTTGCACAAAACTCTGAACACAACAGTCATCAAATGTACAATAAACATACACAGTTAAATAATAGATGGGGCCTGAGCAGTCCAAGACGTGCAAGATCAGGGTGCGCAGGCTGGGTTTGTTTTCTTTTTCCTCCAGGAAAATACAGAATCTGACCCAGAACGCCTCCAAGGGACAGCATCTCCAAACAAAACACAGACCTTCCAGGCAACTAAGAGGACTCTGGATTTACACTTCTGTGGGATACAACTTGGAGAGATCTTTAGGTTGCTCTGGTTTACAAACAATAATAATACATCCTATACCTTCTGCGCTGCAGAAATGGAGAAAAAAATCCGTGCAACCTTTGCCATCTGTGCAATCACTGTAGTTCCTTATTTTGGGAGGAAAATCTGTGGTACTTCCATTTCCAGGCATGCTTCTTTCACAGGCAATTCATTCAACTTGTGACACTAGGAATTACTTCACCTGGAATCAGGCCAATAGCCCGAGGGTGCTGCTGCAGGGCAGAAAAACTTTGATGAGGAAGATCTGAGTTCAAAAAGGCTGCTTTAAAATGGTTTTCCGTTTTAAATAGTTTTCAGTTTTAAATAACTGATACAACTGTCCTCATTTATGGACCGTTCCAACAAAGGTGAATAGAGCAAAGTAGTTTTTAAACCCCACATCTGCAGCATCAATAATGGGAACATATTTGATGTTCATCTATCGTCAAACGTTTAAGACTCTCAAAATTGCTCCTGCAATCCTCCAGTATCCCAGCATTCCCAGTCTCCCATTTCCAAGTTTGCTATTTTCCTACTACTTGTAGCATTTCTGGCTTGTTATTAAATTAGCAGCAGCCTGAAAAAAGCCAAGACAAACTTCTCCCTACTCTCTTCCCACGCAAACAACATTGCAAGGCCCAACATTGTAATTCCAAAATCCTCAGCAACATGAATTCAAGTTACTGGGCATTGTGGTTGTTTATCCACACTGCCACAGTGGCTGGGCTGCCAAATCCACAGAATTTAAGGTCAGTCATCACTGCACTTGACCAAATGAGAGCTCTGGTCCACGTTAATTCTACCCGGCTCATTAGTGCCCCAGTATGGTGGTACAGCAAGAGAAGAGAAATCCCAGGAACAAAAGTAATCCACATTTTGGCAAGTCACTTCAGCGTTACCTCAGAACACTTCTCAGCTGGCCAGCATTGGCCAACTGATTTATCTCAATAATATTTCCATGCCACATTAACAGATACCTTAATTACCAAAGCCATACCTGCTACAAGGCTTTGCCCACAAGGAACCAGATTTACTCTTGTGCAGCTTAAGTGTGGAGTTCCCTCATGTCAAAGACCCTTAACTCCATAAAACCTGATACCACAACATGTAGTGCTTACTGACATGGGAAATCCACACCCGAATCCATGGGAATAGCTATGGAAGAGTCCCACATTCACACTCAGTGCAGTACAAGAGAAAACAAATCAAAAAAAACTTCTCAAGTTCTTCTGTCTCAAGGACCTCTAAGACACAGCACCCTTCTCTGTGTTTGTTTTATAAATAAATGTATCCTGATATGCACAGATGTTCCGGGATGAGTTTTCCAGCAATGAATGGAAATTCAGACATACACAGTATATCCCATCAGGAGTCAATGGAGTTCTAGTCATGTTTTTGCAACCACCAGAATGCCTTAAACAACCAAGACACCTGTAAGACACCTGTGAAGGAGAACTATGTAAGCTAAAACATATTACATGGCCTTAAAATATAAACTTTCTCTTTCCCTTTCTCCTGGTCCCTAAATGCAACATGAATTCTGTACATAGACCAGCTCCATCACATCTGGCAACCCTCATGGATGGGCTTTCCATGTCCCATAAATAGTGTTCCACTAGCATGTTTCTTTTATGTTTCCTGAGTCCAGGGCTGGTTGTTTCCTGGAACTGTCCAAAGGAATTACAGTACATTGTTAACAAGGTTATTTGGAAAAAAAAAAAAATCAAAGAAACCAACTCTCCATCCAGTCTTGAAGAGGAGAAATATGTTTGCTCAGAGGTGACCACAGAGATAAAGACCCTGTCCCTTCAGAGGAGTGCTCTGTATCCTCGTTTTCTCCTGGCACAACTATCTTAGATCACAGCAGAAGTTGCTCTGCAGGTTTAGTTGAGCTGTTGTTTTTTTTTTTGTTTACAGGCAAAAAAGCAATTTTCCCTGCAAACACTGGAGGGAAAAGGAAGCAACAGTGGCTCTGTGCTACGCTTAGGTGCTCCTAGGACTTCAATCAGTTTATTCCAAACAACATGGGTTTAAGACTGTGCTTTTCCTGCTTTCTGAAACTGCTGGGTAAAACAGGGCAGGGCAGGCAGCATGTAAACTGTTCTGGAGGGCTGGAAAAATAATAATTTAATGGACTGCTTCGGCACATCTTCACAGCTTCATTGTTCAATCCATCCCCATAAAGGGACACCACGAACCACCGCTTGGCTGCTGCTGCTCCTTTCTGCAGGCAGTCTGCTCATATCACCCCTTCACCTTGGCTGCTAGAAGCCACAGGAAGCAGTTCTGCCATATTCTAACAACTTACATGATGTTCTCCTGTTTAATGGCTCCTGTTAAAAATATACATATAACAATCTGCCAGGAAGCCTTCAGTTAGGCAGGCTTTTTCCCCATACAGCTGAAATAATATTCTTTGCTGGGCACACTTCCAAAAAGGAAAAATAAGGGTCAGCAGACATGCCAAAAATAAAGTCTGGGGCCAGCAGAGGTTTCACTTCTGTTGTCCTTTTTCTTAAAAGCTGCATAAAAAGCATCCCAGAAGGATTTTGAGGGTATTTCATGGTCACTGTGAATTAAACCCTCTTAAAGCATTAACAAGAGCTCCAAGGTTTTAGTGGAAGGTAAGTGAGCATATACATTAAAACATACAGAGCCCCAGGGTACCCCCACATCTGGGCTGTCAGGGAGGTGTCAAGGACAAGCAAATGGCACCATGAGGCTCTTTCACTCATGCTCTGCTGAGAAAGTCCTGGGTTTGGAGATGTGCACTTCACTCCCGCCACTCCCGTTGGTGGTGGTCGTGATGATGTACTGGGTGGTTTGCTGCTGGTTGCTTGTCTGGGATTCCAAGGGATCTGTGTGGGCTGTGGGCTGGGAAACCTCACTGGAGAGTGAAGAGTTTTGTTTACCATCCAGATCAGGCTGACCTTCAGATATCACGTAGTGAGTCTGCATGGGGAATACAGAAAATAATTAATAAACACTGTATCTTTTGTAACTTCTTTAACAGTCTGCTGCCAGACATTTTGGTGTTTACAAGGAACTTTTAAATAAGCTCTATTTCATTTAAATGTATTTGAGAGCAACATAACACCTGTCTTTTGATTCAAAGAACATCGGACCTACTTGGCTTTTGGTTAATTTACAAATGGTTAAACTCATTACACAATAAGACCATCACTACAGAATAAAATAGCAATTTTCAACTGCACTATTCTGAAAAGTTTTTTCCTGTATTCCATATGTTCTAGCAGAAGTTGCACTCCCAGTGACCAAGATCAACACAAGCCAATGACCTGTCTTCTTATGCTGGATTGCTTACAAGGAATAGCAGGCACTCTTCTTATTTTCTAATCTTACAGAAAACAGAAAGCTACTGAAATGTTTCCAGAAGCTGTTCTGGAATTTGGTTTAATGGATACAGCTTAATCATAAATATTTTTATGACTAAGCAGTACCACTAAATAATTTTGTTCTGCAAAACAAATTAAGTTCTGCAAATGTGATTAAGTGAAGATTTTAAACTGAAAGGAGTCATACATACAAGAGCCAGACAGCATGAGCTTTGTAAATGGTTACAATGCAGACTATACTGTGCAGCCTGAACCTCTTTAGGTACCTCCACTCTGTGCCCCAGTCACGATTTTAGCATTCTTTAAACCTTCAAGCTGAAGAGCTTTACGCCTGATAATACTCTGAATGAAAAAAAGGCCATGATGGTTTTCCTTACCTGAGTAACTGCTTTTACTTGCCCTGTGTTGACAGTGGTGACCGGGGTACCCACGGCAGTCTCAGTGATCACATACTGCCCTTGGGGGATGGTCATCATCTGAATCTCTGATGCTACAAAGTTGCAAATTGGATAATCAAGACCTTCAGTCAAATTCAAAGACAACCTTCAAAGATCATGTCTTATATCAGAAAGATTTAAAGTCTGAAACAGTGGGTATTGAATAGAATTCAGGTGATATAAGGCCTCAGCAGAATTATGCCAGTTAACACCAGACAGATATTTGGCAATTCACGCAGAGAAAACACATCCTGTTCTCACTCAAATCATCACAGAATTACCAGCCAGGACTACATGGGCATGAGAAATCATGTCACGCTCCTTTTCCACACAATTCTTTCAAGCATGCATCCAAATTTGAACAAGTAGCTATCCAACACATTGATTCTTGCTTGGAATAAAGGAATCCAGCGTGCCTGCCCAAACTATGTACCAGATCAGTATGGATGATAGTGGAAGAGCTGGTACAACCATTTACATTTATCTGAAGCTTTATCTTCTTGATATCTATGAATATTAATCGCAAAACTGAATGAACTCTGAAAACTCTGTCCCATTTGGTAGCTGGAGACATGGGGCACTTGTTAGTCAGACACACTTGCCAGACAAGTAGTTAGAGCTACTGCTGAACTTACAGTAGCTCCGAAATGAGTTCCAGTTGCTGGGGAGATATGTGTGCTGGACTGAGGAGCCTTGCTGCTGCTGGAGGGCTTGGTTTGGTGTCGATGTAGTTGTCTGCATCTGTGAGGGGCTGAGCTCCTGCTGAGGTTGTTGCGAGGAGGGACTCAAAGGCTGACCCCCAGCCTACAGGAAAAAAAAAAAGTGCAAGTGTTCTTGGTGTAGTAAGGATTGCACAGCTCTATGCTGTCACAGCCTTCTCATTAAGGGAAAACACAGGCTGGGTTCCAGAGCATATCAAGCACAAGAACTGAACTCTCTCTCCTCCAACTTGCTTCACTCTACAGTAAATAAGCTCAGACCAGGAAACTAAAATAGTGATATTGTTGCTTGCCAAAGTGAGTCTGTGGCAGAGACCTGAGACTAGAGGCTAAATTCTACCCAAGAGCATGAAGAGCTGCATGTAAAATATTTGAGGAATGCCAGTTTCCATTTACATCTTCCAATTGACAAACCTAATTTAGCTGCAAATATGTCTGTTTCCAATCATTTATCTCTGTACATACTGTTGAGGGGAAAAAACACCCCACACCAAAAAACCCATACAACAAGTACCCAAACAAACCCACAACAAAACATCCCCATGCACCTTGAGACATCTGGGCCCTGCTTGATGATCTCAGTGTGAGAGTAATTTCATGTGTGGTCCTTTAAATGACAAAGAAAACACTATCCCCTGCATCAGCACATGCAATATGCCAGCTGAGCAGGCTGATAGGGAAAGCATTTTCTGATGAGAAGAGGGAAATACCTGTGATGATGACTGAGTTGCTGGTGATGGCTCTGTCACCTGGATGTGCTGCACCTGGATGGCATGTTGGGTGTATGTCTGGGGGTCATGGAGCTGCCCAACATCCACTGTGGAGTGCTGGGACTGGTGAGGTGAGGTAGCCTGGGGAAAAAATTAAGCAGAGTTCTTTACCTCAAATTCTTTACAAAAGCAGCCATGTAAACCTCTTCTGGGACACAAGGTCTGGAATAATGAAGTAGGAGCCTTAGTGGAGCACACCTGTTGAGCCTTGTTGAGTTTCTTTGCACCCCGGGAGATAAGGTACATTTAACAGATGTAATGGCACAGAGATAGTTCTATCTCAGTGATACCAAAGGAAAGGACTTGCCTAACATCATTCAAGCTGTTTGTGGCAGTGGCTGGACTAAACCAAAGGGTTCAAAAGCCAGGATTAGTGTTAACCCCTTCTCTGTAAGCATCTTTCTGTACAACATAGACATACTCGAGATCTGCATATCCAATTCTGTAGTTTGACACAGCTCTGCATCAAGACAAGTGCTCAGAGGTTTTTAAAGGTTTTTCTGAACAACACTTGCTAATGATACCAATTGCAGTAATTGAATTACAAGTCTTGAATATTTATAAAATTAAGATCTTGCTAATATTACCTGCAGGAATCAGTGTTCATGCTCTAGTATTGTTACAACAGCCACAGTCACTATCAACTGGGGCCATTGTTTAGGCCTTTATTAACCAAATTCATAATCTGATTTGATAACATGGAATTTCAGATTAAAATATAAACACATGGTAGTTTCAGCTTCTGTTGTAGTGTGTTCTTGTACTTTGTAATGGTTTTTTTGTATGCCCTTATTTTTCCCAGATGGTTTACACCCTTGATTGTACCCCTTCCTCCCTTCATCTGTGTAGTCCCTCTCCTTTGTTGAGATCATCCCCAAATCCCTGCCCTGGGTCTCTGTCAGTCACTCAGCATCCCATCCTTTCTATCTAGAACTTTCGGTCCAAGTCATCCAGTGATTAGTCAGAGGCCAGGGGTCAACCAAGTGCTACCTCATATGCTACTCCAAATATCCATTCCCTAAGTGTTCATCCCTAAAGTTTCTTTATTGGTCAGCAAAATTATCTACTTTTTGGTCCACACCTCCCTTTAAAATGTAATCTTGGCACCTCTCCCGGGCACTCTGAGCAGGGGCCCCCTGAGGTGTGGGAGCTCCCAGGAGCTCAGAATAAAACCTTGGATTAACCCCTGCTAAGAGTCGGCCCTTTCATCCTCTACCAATGTCTCTAGCGTCCCCTCTGCTGCAAAGGCGACTAGCCCAGCTGCCTTCAGTACCCTCGGGGCACGAGAGAGTGTCCCCCGCTCTCGGGGCTGTCCCCCCACTGTTGGCCGAGTTGGGGCTGGCCGGGGTTCCTGGGGGCTCCCAGAGAGAAGGAGACAAGCTTACTCCAGTGGGTAACAGATTTCTTACAGCTGCCCGAGATCTTCCCCAGACCAGTTACTCTAGTTACACTCTGGTTTTATTTTTAGGAGGCTGTTGAACATCAAGAGAATGAATATGCTAATAGAAGCTATGAAGGGAACAAGCAACCACTCTCTGTACTCCCAAATTTTGGCTCTGACTCACTGAGGACAAGGAAGCACAAATCAGTCTTGAACTGTAGAAAATGGGTCACCCACTGACCCACCTTTCCAATAGCTAGAAAACATTCCTAAAGCAGACTTGAGCAAAGCTGCCCGGACAAGTAGAACTAAGTCTGGACTGTGTTGATGTGTCTCCAGGAAGCTGTCCAAGGCTGGCAGGACTATTTATGCCTGGTACAAGTGCTTATGAAGGGAAACCTATGCCTTATCAGTTGATCTATCTGTAAAAAGTAGCTACAGCACTTTTTGTAACTACTCACCACACTTCTGTGTGCTAGAGCCCCAAGAACACACAGGCTTGGAAGGGAAGAGATCAAAAGCACAGCAAGATCCCCACCAGGTTACTCACCTGGGCCACTTGAACAACCTGCAGCTGTATGTGCTGAGGCTGCTGCAAGCCAGTTGTGGATTGAGACACAGGGATGTACTGGATGCGCTGGTAATCTCCCTGGGGAGTCCGGTAATCTGTAGTGAGAGTCTGGGATATCTCTGTCATTGCTTGGGTCAGTAAATCTGTTGTCTGAGCAGGGAGAGAGTGACATAGAACATCATCATACTGATGTACTTTTCAGGGCTGCAGTTCTAGTTCTTTTATCTACACTTACAGTGGATCTGGTAACTTTTTCAAAAGAGCTTAATGAATCCAGAGATTGGGGTCATAAGTAGTCACCAGGGATCATCAACTAGAATTGCTGTCTTCTGTCTAAATCCTAGTCAGCACCAGTAATGACTAACTTAACATATAATAATAAAAATAATTACTGTTGTATCGTGCTTTTTGTTTTATCAGTGGGTCTATGGTTTGATTTGTGATTTAGTGTTTTTCCTTGGTGCTGTTTTTTCTTTTGTCTCCACCCTTTTCCCAGAAATGTCGTCCGCTAGTTTCTATTTCTCCAAATTTTACCCACTTTCTAAAACTGTTTTTCTTCCTTGGAAGTTTATTGGTTCGCTACTGTTATTCCCCGCCTGGGTTTTTACTCCCAACTCTCCTGATTTGTTGGAAGTTGGGTCTGCCCCTGCCTTTCCCCTGAGATATAAGACTTTGTTGGCCCCTTAGTTGGGGCCCAGGAAGAAAGAGGGGAAGAAACACCATCAAATAAAGTTTCCCTGGGACCCGTGTGCGCTGCCTGTGTTTTATTCTGCGCTGAATTGACTGACAACTGGGATTCCACGGAGCTCCAGGGGGAAAAACTGCCGCCCTCCCTCTCTACATCAGCTAGCCGGGGAAAGAGAAGCAGCAAATTACTTTCATCTTGTGACATACCAGTATTCTGTTAAACAATGGAAGTCCTGTATTTGTGAAGAGCTGACTTGGTTTCCAAGTCAAAAAGTGATTTGTGCATATATTCCACCTTTCTTCCTCCCCTGTCAGAGTCACAGTGTATTTCTAATGTGTAAAGACATTTAGTACATAACTTAATCAGGTTTATGAAGCCAACAGCATCCTGATTAAACCTCTCAATTTTCAAGCAAAACAGTCTTTTATCTAGTTAGTCTTTAGATAAGTTTTAAACTGTGATCAATAGGACTTTTAAAACTACATAGTATCCCACAACATTGAAGGACACATTTTCTAGTCTCAGCTTTCACTTCAGTGGCAGCTAATGTATTAACAGTAGAGAGATCAGCCACTGGAGATTCATCTTGCTCAGTGCTGTGCTGTCCAAAGGACTACAAAAATATCTGACTCCCTGAACACAGTTTTATCCAGTCCCCAGTCACTGTTAAACTTGTCCTTTTGATGCCAGGAACTGCATCTCTCACTTCAGGAGAAAATTCCCAGTGAAAATCCATGAGATGTGTATCCCTGAGCTCATTATGTGGAGTCAGTAGATCTGAATGTAAGAAGAAAATGGATCTGGGGATAAAAGACCAATTCTTAAAGCTCCAGAACAAAATGAACAGCTCCTGACACTGCAAAACTGGACCACACGGGCTTAAAACCAGAAGTGATCTCAAATAATGTCCTAATACAGGTTTTAAAGTGATGTCTGTCAAATAAACCACTTAGGGTTACTAATACCAGAAGGCTCCTGTTCTGTGTGTCTCCCTGCACTACCCTTGTGTCCTTACCACAACAGTTTCTCCAGTTGTGCTGTCAGTGGTGAGAACAGCTGGCGTGGAACTGATGACAGCCGTTGCCAGTGGCGCATGGATCGTGTTCGGGAGCTGAGCAAACTCTGGGTGCTTCTTGCGGATGTGCTGCACCATCTTTGTCTGCAGAGAGAAGCAAAGGAGCGTTGGAAGGACAGTCAGCAACTCTGCTCAGTGCCATGTGAAATCCCAGCCTGGCCAAACACAGCTTTTAGGTTTCCCTCAGTAAAACCGCCTCAAGATTCACACTATGAGATCCTCTGGTCAACAAAGTTGAAAACAAGGATCACAAACCTGCTGCTTGATTAGAGCTGACACTGAAGTCTTGTCCTCAACAGCTTTTTACCCCAATATCACCAAATGTTTTATGACTTTTTCCAAAGGTCATCGTTTCTGTGTTTTGTTTCCCTGCTTGTCTCCCCTGTAACTACCAGACAGCAGTTTTCAAGCCCTTCCATTCATGATCATGCTCTGGTAACTTTTCAACACAAACCCTCTATTCATGGAATCTTTTGGCACTAAAACAACCAGACTGTGCCTGCACTGTCAGCACACAGCACAAAACCAGCACTCTGACTGAGATGAAGAGAGCTCTGCTTGTGTACAGACAGGTGACAGAGACCATGGTGAAACACCATCCCCAGGGAGAGGCTGTCTGAGGCTGGAACTTCCCATACCTTACTGCTGTATTGCTTGGAACAGTGAGGGCAGCACACTGGAGGGGTGGCGATGGTGCCTGTCAGCTGTGTGTGGGTGCTTAGCATAGGATCTGGCTCTCCCGGTCCTGCAGGACGCAGTTTCCGGATGCTTGGAGGTAGCTCAGCACCAGGATGGTTTTTCAGTATGTGTGCTTTGCGTTTGCTGGCACTCTTGTACACCTGCAGGGCAAACATTTGGAATTAAAATGGTGCAACCCTGGTGTCTGTACAGGAAATAGCTACCAGTTATCTTGATCTGGAAGGTCTGCATGTTGCTTTAGAGAATACATTTAGTTAAATCTCCCAAACAATTACAACAAAAGGCATGAACATACACCTTCCAGTGTTTCATCAACCTGTAAAAGCAACTGACTCCTTGTGTAGCAGAGAAACCTTTTGAGAACATACTGTATGCCACAACCAAACAGCGAAACAGGACAAGGAGGTAAGAGGAAAATTCTTCTTGCCATATTTGAAGATCAAATGCCCAATGTTAATTTGTTATGATGGTTGATGTCTCTATTTGACACAAAGCATCAAACTGTTTTAGTCTGGTGATCAGCACACCTTTTAGTTCTTTTTAGGCACATCAACAAACAAATACTATGTAATAATTTAAACTATTTTTTCTCCCCTCAAGCAAAAGGAAAAGAGGCATCACAGAAAGACGTACTGAGGATAATGACAGTCAAATACACTCCTTGGTAAATATAGGCCCCCAGGCATAAAAGGCAAAGGAGAATAAGAGCAAGAACCCAAAGGCACTGCAGAAGCAGTTTCAGGCTCCACTGACCACTGGGACATGACATAGTAAGCAGCTTACAATAGAAGGTGTTAAAGACTAACTTTTAGAAGTGATATAGCAAGCAAAAGTACTTACTGGCCAGAAATTATGCACAGACAGCATACTTAGTCCTGTGCTAACACAAGACTAAGGGTCAGTGACTGTGCTGGATAACAGTATTCAAGTTTTCCAATGCCAAACACAGCAGAAAGGGGAAAACTACAGCTTTCAATTAGCATTCCACTGCCTTGGCCTAAGTGCATTAGTGCATGCATTATGGCTTTTTTTTTTTTTTTTTTTTTTTTTTTTTTTTTTTTTTTTGACAGTACTGCAGGAATGTTGCTGGCAAGCAGCTCAGAAAAGCTACAAACCCCGCCAGAGATTTCTATGCAGAGACAAATTGGTTGCATCCAGGACTGGGACTGAGCTATCCTCTCAGGGATGACTTCCCACACACCTTATCGCAGTATTGACAGAAGTAATCTCTGTTGGGTTTTATGATGGGCAACGTGAGCTCTGGCACCTCTTCTATTTTCATGTCTGGATGTCTCTTTGATAAATGATTCACCTTAGGAGAAACAGAGGACAAGAACACATTACAGCTGGAAGCCAAATGATTGGTGCTTCTTCCAGACATGGGTAACAGCCAAACCAAAACTGAATGATGCAAGCCAGCAGCACTGGAAGCATTTGCTGATGCAAGGGTTATTGTGCACTCATATTTAACTGCTGAAGGTAAATGCGGTCTTGCTAGGTCTCATTTACAGTTTCTCTAACCAAAATTAGATTGGAAGGGGTGAAATAGTTTGCCAGAACTGTCTTGTAGCTGGTATCTGAGAGTGAGGTCATGTGAAGGGCCTCTGCCCAGATCAGAATCCCCATGAAACCTAAGTAAACAATCTCGTGCTGCAGAACAGCCTTTACCCAGAGGCAGTGACAAGACATGGCCAGAAGAGGCCCTCGAGAAGGAGGAGAAACAAAAAAACAGGAAAGACCGCCAGGAAAACAGAGGCACTAAGGCTGAACAAGGCAGTATTTTCATCTCATGTCCTGTTAAATACAGTACACATCAGACAGCATTACTTAGTGTTGAAATATGGTACTGACAACCAGATGTACAGTGCAGGCAGTAAACATGAGCAAATTTGCTGAAAAGGTAAAACACACAGATTTAAAAAAAAGATGTATCACCTCAGCTCAGCTACAAAATTTGCCAAAATTTGTTTCACAGCATCCTGGCTGGATAAGACCAGATTGGATGGGGCTTGGAGCACTCTGGTCTAGTGGAAAGTGTCCCTGCCCATGGCCAATAGATGGAATGAGATGAGATTTAAGATCCCTTCCAGCCCAAACCCTTTTATGATTCTTGTGTTCCAATGCTGGAATTCCATCTTTATTCCTTACCTATTCATCAGAATGGAGTACAGAGGTTGCAACAGAACCCAGGCACTCACCAACATGCCCCTGCGGCGGAAGCCCATCATGCAGAGGCGGCACTTGAACATGAAGCTCTCATAGTCAGTGGACGCGATCCGGGGCTTGAAGGTTTTGGAGCGGCTGATCCGATCAGCCTTCTTGGCCTCCCTCTCTGGGTTGTGCATTCTCTGCATGTGCTCTCGCAGCTTGTCCTTCCTCTGGAAAGGAGAAATTGGGGAGAAAAATGTCAGCAACGTCACAGAAACGGCCATATTGCCTGTTATGCGTAAGAGCCACAGTTTGAGTTGTTCAGGGATCTCTCTTCAGAGAGGGAAATTTTCCTCTCAGAAAAATGTGTTCCTTCACCCAGAAGTATCCAGTCCCTCAGTGTCCCATCACAAACTCAGTGACAGGAAGCAGGCTGCTGCCACCACAGTTTACCTGGCTCACAGTCTGCTCCATCTGCTCCAAGGGGATTTGGAAAGGCATCTGGATGACATGTGCTGAAAAGATGGATGCCATGGACACAGGCTTCTTGGCCACTAACATTATTAATCCACTGGCACTAGCAAGTTAACTGAACTGTTACAAGCAATGTAACCCAAACACCTGGCAATGGAGGTGTATGATGTCCCAGTTCTTAATGAACAGATAGAAAGTTCCTTTGCTATTTAATTATTAGGAATAAGATCTGTTTGAAATAAGATGCTGAGGTGACCTTGCCCCTTGTCCTTCAGAAATGGATGTCACAGCTCACACAGGACACCAAGCAATGCATGCAACTCACAGGCAAGTCTAGTGTGTTAACACATGTTATTTTCTTTCACCTTTGAGAACATGAACTTATCTCCTTGAAGGAGGGTAAGGAATAGTGGGTTTTGTACTAGTAATGATCAGCTGAGAGGCGCCTCACCTTGAACTGCTTGCCACAGGTGGAGCACAGGAAGTCTTTGCGGTCCGAGTGCCGCAGCATGTGGAGTCGCAGCTTGTCAGGGCGGCAAAAAGCCTTGTCACACTCTGTACACTGGTAAATCTTCTCAGAATGGAAACTGCGCACATGTTTCTTGACCTAAAATGGCAGATCACAGAAAAATGAAGTTTATTCAAGATAGAAGTGAGTGGTAACACAGTCTAGGAAACTCTTTGCAATGTGAAAGAAAAGGAAAAGGTTTTGAAGGTGTCTAATATACTTTGGTTTAAAAAGTATTTGATCAGAACAGTTGATATCTCAGCAATAGTTTCTATAAAGCCATAACATCTTTATTACTCATCTGGATGGGTGATTTGATTTCCTCAAGACTGATTCTTGAAGGCATCAGCTATTGCACAGCTGCACTTAATGGGCGGCGAAAGTCCACAATGTACCATTTGCACAGAATTACCCTTGAGTTAACACATTCATCTGAGGTTCAATATCTTCCTTTCATTTATAAGAAACCAAAACATAGGAACTAATTCCTTTCAATCAGACACAATGAGCTTGCAATTATAAGTGGCAAAGAAAAAAAACACTTATTCAGAACAGCATTTGTGCACCATTCCTGAATGGTAATTACTTCTCCATACTCTGGGACTATCCTTCACCTCTTCAGACATCTAGAGGGGTATTTTTTCCTCCCCCCAATAAAGGAACTAATGAAGTTTGACATCTGAAATGAAAGCATTGTTCAAGAAATGGATCTCTAATTAAATCCTTACCGTCTTCTAATACTGATCATACACGGAACAACTGGGCATCTCTACCTGTTCCACATAGAAGTATTTCAGTAGGCAGCAGTGACTAGTCTTAATTATCCACACAGCAAGAAGAGAAAAAAAATCATTGTTAAATGTCAAAAATACAACTGAATAGTTGGAAAAAAAGCCATGGGTCTTTCAGTCATTTGCATGGGAAAGTTTACAGGGAATTACGTTGCAGTACAGTATTTCTGAATCATCAACATTCTTCCTTGCTGAACATTTACAGAAGATAAAGGACTTCTTCCAGGATGGAATTATATTAGTCAAATCACTTTCCCCCATCCTTTCCTCCTTAGTCTAGTGGATAGTCTATCTGTTCCTATTACTGACATAAACTGGATTTCTACATTTCAGTTTCAGTCAGGCAGCTTAGTAAGATACATCAATTACTTTGTCCCTAGGAAGGATAATGAATATGTGCATGGTCCATCTCAGTTTTTTCTTACTGGACATGGAAATAGAACCTTTAAATTCTACTAATGACCTTGTCCAAATGCTCAGCATAATGTACAGTAGCTGCATTACTCACTGCTCCAGTGCAGTGTGCAGGGAAGGAGAATAAAGTGCCCAGATGAAGCTCAGGGGGGAAGTCAGGAAGCAGAGTAACCTGATCTGTTCTGGCATTTCTTGGAGCTGTTCAAATGAATTATCCTGACAGAAAGCAGGCAAGGGATTAAAGATGTAAACCCCCTTGTTCTTTTGTTCAGAGTCTTAATGACGAAGGGCAAGGTGTGTTCAAGTTCAAGCTGAATACAATAAAAGACAATTCTTTTTTGTGCCACAGAGATGCAGTAGTCAGGACCTCTGCTTCAGGAATTTTTTAGGAATAAGGCACCCACCCATCTGCACTACAGTGCCTTCTAATGACAGATTGAAGCATCACACCTGGTGATTTAGTGGACAGAGTACTTCAGTGTCATAAGACAATGTCTAGCAGTGGTTGGTCACTCTTCCTTTTCAGTTTCTGACTGAGGTGGACCCCTGCATCTTGTGAGAATGAACTGCTGTGCAGTTACACAGGGAGAGCACTGAGAAACCCACAGCCTTGTGACAGACCCCCAAAGCAGCGTTTCAGATCAGTACAGCATCTCACCTGGATAAAATCTGGGAAGCGTTTCTTGCAGGTGGGGCAGGTGAAATAGCCATCATTGACATGGATGGCCACGTGATCCTTAAGCAGATCCAAGCGGTCAAAGGACTCAGGGCAGAAAATGCAGGAGTATGTTTTCTGGTCCATGTGGAACTTCATGTGGCCCTCGAGGGCACCGCTGTTGATGAAGCCCTTGTTGCAGATGTCACAGGTCAAAGGGCAGTTCCCTTCCCGCCCATGGAACCGCAGGTGCTGGTCCAGCTTGTCCTTCTCCCGGAAGGCCTTCCCACACTGCAAGCATTTGAACGGGCGGAAGGATTTCCGGATGAACAGGTGCTGCAGAGCTGCATTCTGAAAGAAGCATCCAAAAGACCATTAGCTTTCATTACCACTTATAGATTCCACATCCATATATATTCAGGATTAAATATACCAGATGATTAGTGAACCTAAACTACAAGAAATTATTTTCCATCATATGTGGTCTCCAATTTACAGCAGGGGAGGCTGTGACAGGCAGAAGTCAGGGGACACACCTGCAGCTACAACCTGACTAACAGAACACAATGAAGGAGTTTCCTCTCCATCCCTGATTTCTTCCGATTTAGCTGACTTTCTTTAAGCATGCAAATTTTCTGTAAAATAAAACTAAGTCCTCTCTGAAGCACACACCCAGGCTTGAGAAAACCAGCTGATCACTGGGCATCATGTCATAAGTTCAGCTACCACACAAAGGAATGGTGAGCCAGCACTGTATGTTTCCTTCAGGAGCAGGGCTTATGAAATTCCACAGCCCTTTACAAGATCACCTTCTGCATCACAGATCACCACAGAGATGTGCAGCAGTGGTTTAGCATTGCCTGGAGAACTTCTAGTGGAACATACATTCAAGAAATGCTGGTCTGAACTTTTTTACTATTGCCACAAAGAAGAACAGAGTTTCGAAACATGATGACAAGGGCAGAATGGCAGCCTTATCAGCAGCACGTAAAGAACTTGTGAGCAATACTCCACTCCTACTGTGCACAATGTCTCTTCTCAGCACCTTTTTTTAATGTGTGTTTGCCTTCACTCTGCCTTTTCTGTAACATTTTGTGATTGTTCTCTATTTGTTGTCTCTCCTTACCCTTCAGATAAATGTTATAGAGCCATCCCAGTCCTTACCCAGCACTCTCTGCTGGAAGAACAGATGCTGCTGGATGCACTGCCTATAGAAAAAGGGAAGGAGGTCCTGCACCTGCACTTCAATATTGGATGAGAACTTTCATGTTGGATAGTTGCAAAGCTGGAATTGAGTCCTATGAAATCCCCCAGCACATTGTCACCCATACTGCATTCAAAGTACACTGCAATGCTCCATTCCTCTGCAAGCAGTCTAAGCAACATCCACTCTTCTCTCAAATACTTCTATAAACATTATTTATTGATGTCTTTTTTCACATTACACACAGAATCTACATCATGATAGTCAGAGAAATAATGTGGAAGAGCATAGTTCAAGTTGCATATTAGGAAGAAATTCTCAGCTGTGAGGTGGCGAGGCCCTGTCACAGGCTGCCCAGAGAAGCCGTGGCTGCCCAGTCCCTGGAAGCACTCAAGGCCAGATTGGATGGGGCTTGGAGCAACCTGTCATAGTGGAAGGTGTCCCTGCCCATAGCAAGGGGGTGGAACTGGATGAGCTTTAAGGTCCCTCCCAGCCCAAACCACTCAGATTCCACTAAAATATTGCTGACACTTCTGCTCACATGTGTTCCATATGAACCACTTCTTCATGAGACCCATTCATGATTCTGCAAACAAATTTCCCTTGTTTCCTCTCTCCTTTGCTTGTGGGAATGTGGCAGCTGACACAACTGACATTTGCTGTGTCTCTTAAGTGCACACCAACAGTTGACACTGATTAAGTAAAGTTATGAGCTCTTCTGCTGGAACGAGGGAACAGCTTGGGAATACTGTGAAATGCTGTGCTAAGAATTAAATTTGTGAACCTCAAAAATCCTTTTTCACCATCTGAACTGCAGAGGGAAACCTACACTTTCATTCCAGGAAAGAACAAGAGAGCAAATGTTTTGCTATCAAAAAAAAATTAACGCTTTAATACAGGAGCTCCAAATAGGGCTTCCCAGGAGCTGTCATCATCACTATTCTCAATTTTACAAATGGAGACAATGGGAAACATAGGGATCTGCTCTAAGTCACACTGGGAATTGGAAAGACAGCCATGTGCTGTGCAAAATCTGATGTGCTGCTTGGAGTTCAAAGGATATAACTGTCCTCTTTAACCACAGGGAAATGCTAATAAAACACAGACGAAAAGATGTATTTCAAGTCCTGAACTTCACTATTAATTTGAGTTTTGATCACTGGTTCCTTAGCAGGGAGCTGACTGCTAATACAGCAGGCCAGACTCAACATAGCCCTGTTGTTATCTCAAGGGCTATAGAATGTGAAATGTTTTACTGCTCTTTGCCTAGGTAATCTATCAACTATAAAAACAGAACAAAAGAACTAAGTGTTGTCTTCTTAAATTGTAGTATTGATTTGGCACAAACAATTGTGCAAACAAATCCCCCAATATTACAGCTCTTCATCCAAGCAATTTGCTCCTATAAAATCCACCTTAAATCTACAAAGAACTGGTATGAAAAGAACTGGAAAGATGCAAATTGTTATTCAGGTAACACTTAGTTCTGGACATGGGTTACCTAAAGAAGAATGAATGTGACGATTTATGGTGCAGGGACAATCAGGGAAACACTAAACAGGAGTTGGACCAAACAACATGGAAGGCGGTGTTGATACGTACCATTGGATTAGATACAGGAAAAACCCAATGAAACAAAAACACAAACCTACCTGCAGCTCCAGCTGAGCAGGCAGCATTGAGAGAGAAAAAAATACTTATGTTATGCAATGGACTTGAGAAAACAGAAGCCTTGACTTCTGCAGGTCACTACAAGGGCTCTTCCAACTAGAGTTTACTGCTTTGAGGTTTTTGCCTCAGGAAACACTAAACAGATCTTCCAGGTTTACTCTGTAGTTAGTAACTGCTCAAGGGAAGTTAAAAGGGCAGAGATAAAAACCACAGATAATCTTGAAGGTGTTTTGTGACCTTTCCTGTTTTCCTAGGGCTGATTAACAGGGATGCAATGTGCACTGCAGAACCATAGTGAGAGCAGAATACTTTCAGCAGAAGGGAATAATTAGAGCAGGATGACAACAGGGTAGGGAGAGAAAAAAGTTAAGGAGAAGGGACTTTTTCTAACCTCATTTTACTGACTGTGCTACTTGTTGCACAACCACTTGCATTTCTTTCACCATAAAGGAAGTGACTGTGCTTTCCAAATCGTATTCCTTTCCATCCTGTTTCTGGCATTAGCACACAGACACCCTATATGCTGCCCAGAACTGAACTAAAAACAAATATTCATTTTGGCTGTGGACCACAACGTTCTTCTAATTTTCTACAAAAGTTCTTGAAGGGTGCGTGTCTCTCTTTTCAATACTAGGGACCTTCCCAGCTGCCACAGTTAAGGTCTGATCTCCAAGGAAACCCCACAGACTCTAAAGCAGAGGCTGACCTGATCCTATCAGGACTCGAACCCTGGGGCAGGACAAATCAGTGCTTCCAGATAGCAAGAAAAAAGTCTCAGAGCACCATTGTCTTAAGCCTTAGAAAAGCTGAAGTAATTCACAAAGAATGACTGGTTTTGAAAACTAAATCCTATCTAATTAATAAGGAAGAACAAGAGCTGATTTCAGAATCATAACCAGGAGTCAGGACTTTGTACCTTTTCTTTGGAAGTGAATAACATACCACATAACCAAAAACCAAATGTTTGCTTGTTTTTATTATGAAGTGCGTGTTATTGTAAGGCAGGTGCTGTGTGAGTGTTCAGAGGGTGATTTTTCAGTGCTTAAAAAATGGTGCTTGCTGGTTTAGTCTTATCTCAAGTGCTTATTGCTCACAGTCTGATGCAATATAGAAAGGTCTGTGCAACCATCCATCTGCCATTCTGTCTGTGCTGCTGGCTTGAAACATCTCCAGGACTCTGCTGAACATGAACTGCCAGATAAAGGGAACGTTCAGAAGACTTGAAATACAAACGTATCAGTGAACCACCACTGCACTTCTCTGAGCTGTCATCCATTTGTGATGAATTTACAGAGAACAAAAGCTAAGTTACAAGACAAAGAAGTAACTTCAGAACTTCTGTCCTTTTCTTCCTACATTAATTTCAGCGGATCCTAAGTTCACATCTTGGGTTCAAAAGTTCAGGGAAATGGGCAATGCTTTCTTTTCTTTTCTGAGGATGCTGTAGCACACTGTAAGCAGTACATCCCCATGCTCTGTCAAAACTCCAGCATCTCTCTCTGTATTCTATTATACACCCTTCAAAACACATGCAATAAAAAATCCCCCAAGCTTTTACCATATGAAAATGAAATCACTGGTAGAAACTTGTCACTCAGAGACTGCAAGCATTTTGTATGGTTAAAAACTGTGCAGTCTTAACGTGCCCAAGCCAAACTCTTCCTTCAAGACATGCCACAGCATTTTTGGGGTAACATCACCATTGGTCTTGCATATATATTACTGTAAACTGCAAGCAAAATTTGGCTCAACATCTTCCCATACAGAATAGTTACTCAACTCTTTTCTAATTCTTCCTCATCCCCTAAAAATGAACACTTACCCCACTGCAGCTGTTTCTTTCCTTAATCCAAAGTTAACACATGGAAGAAAAAGATTTTAAGCTAAATAAACTGATCTCCCAGTTACAAAGCTTCAAGGATTATTTGCTTGAATCATTTCCCTCCCACACAACCAGCTCAGCCAGTTGACATGGAGCTCAGGCTCAAAGTGTTTGCTCTTAACACAGGTTTTGCTCTCAAAGGCAGGGTTTTTTACCCCAAAAAAGGACTTTATCACTAAGTATCACCATCATCTAAGTGGATCCAAACGGAGGTTGTGGTTCCTCTTTGGCAATTATTTGCAAGACAGTTCTGAGAGACACAGATGGTGCTGTGAGCAAGTCATTAGTCCATGCCACAGCACGAGGATTCTGCCAGTTGTTTGAAGCACCCCTGCTTGCCAGTTTGGATGGATTGTGTTTCCATGCAAGAATTACCATGATGGAATTCAATCAGCTCCAGCACCTGACCAGTTCTCACTAACGCCTATGAGATACCGGTCCTTTATGTGAGATTTGTCTTCCTCTCAGTGCAAAGAAAACTGCTAGGAATGAGATGCTTTATTGGGATTTGGAAATGGATCTGACAGTGAAAGGAGGATCAGCTGGCCGCGGCAGGCAGGCATGGCATTCCCTGGGTTATAGTGGATGTGATCCCCCATCCTCTGTGCTTACCCTGATGCGCTTTGCTCGCCTCATGTCATCTGCTGTCACAGTGCTCTGTGTGGGCACCGTGTTGCCCTCGTGCTGTGGCTGTACATGGAGCACATGGTTTTCCTGCTGCTCCAGTGCTGCTTGAGGCTCTGTTGGCACTGGAGTCTGTTCCTGCTGCTCCAGCCCATTCAGTGGGGCTTGTCCGGCCTCATCAAACTGCCCCTTGCTGGAAAAATGCAGCAAGTCCTGAAATCGCAAATCATACAACCAGTGATTATTCCCCCCACCCACTGAAAAAGACTTTGATAATACTCAGCAGACAAGATTTGTACATATTTAATCATAAACTATAAACAAAACAGCATAGTGTAGTGTCTACACTAACTCCTACTGTGTCCACTGTTGCTTTTGGCACATCACCTTCACCTACAGCAGCGTCACCCAGAGCACCACGGAGGCAGTGCTGCAGGTGGGTGACTCTTCATGGGCCATCCTTTTCTTTGACCAGCCATGGTCATTATGCTTTCTTTCTCAGCATTCCTACTCACCCATTCAACTCAGCAACAATGATGCAGTAAATAATAAAAATGGAATAAATTCTGGCAGCAAAACCAATCAGCTTTATCGGGCTGATTAGCCGGATAATAGCCAACAAGGCTCTTCTGCACTCAGGACTATTTCCACTTCAACCAAAGCAACTAGTGCAGACCCAGGAAAGGAGAGAATTTCTGTCTCATGGAAACTGTTGTCACTTTGAAACTCTGTGTGTCATTTTGCAGTGTCTTTTCCTTCCTAATGAACTATCTGGAGTGCCAAACTGGAGAGTGACAAACAAGGTAATCACACTGGATGCTGTGTGTTTCTTTAATCTGGTTTCCAGCTCTGCACACATCACTTCCATATATCACACAAAGCTGTTTTTCCTCCTCTTTCGCATTAGCATAAAAGGGAGGTGTTGTGAGCAGGAGGCACATGCCAAAAGTCTACATTCTTTCCCTGTGAGTTCCGATAACTCTTCTGGAATGGAATCATCTTCTATTACATAAAAAACCACACACAGATCCTTATTTGACACCATGTAATGCAACTGAAGAAACTTAAAAGCACAAGCTAGGAAACAGAACACCAGAATTAATTTTGAATTATGTCAGCTGAAGGGTGGTGCTGTCAAAACATAAAAGTGTGTGTGGGAGAAGAAAACCAAGGAATGAGGCCCTTACAGACTGGGAGTGCTTACCAGAAAGAGACCCTTAGTAAACAATACACCATCGCAGTGTCCAGCCCAGGTCTGGGTGGCCAGTTTCCACCTTGCTGACACTCAGCGATGCTCTCAGCATCCTGACTCTCCAGTTCCCAGGCAGAACTCATGCCCAGCTTTAGTGAGGTGAGCAGACCTCCAAGGGCTCAGGGCATCATCCTATCCCACTGCACAGACACAGGTGAGCCAGCTCCGGGCCATGCTCCAAGCTGGCAGGACACAAGCGACCTCCAGTCCAGAGGCCACTCACACACTGGACTGTGCCCAGCAAGCACCCTCTCCCCAGAGTGAAGGGTTTGGGACCAGCATTAGGTTTATTTGTCTAAATGAGGCTGGCATGTGTCATGTTAGCCTGTAGAGAGGGTGAGCTCACAACTGCCTGCACCTAATGCAGAATTTAGGGCACTGCAGCAGGAATTCACAGGCAGAGTACACATTCCTCCCTCTGAGTCAGCAAAGAGCCATGACCCAGTGAGGAGACAGGAAAATTACCACTCCAGATATCAGCTTTCAGCTAAGTCATAAACCAGAGCACTGGTTTACTTCTGTCACTGCTCATAAAAGGACTTAGTGGTAACCTAAGCATGGTCAGCATCATAGAATTTAGTTTTTTACTTAAATGCATCACATTACATCCCTGCAGAATATAACCAACAGCTACAAGCAAAAGAACACTTTGCAATAAGTCTGCCTACAGGAGGCCCTTCTGTTATTATTAAAACATCAAAGAAAATCATATCTCAAACTTATTTAAATCTACCAGCAACAGTTGTAAGAGCAGGCTGATCTCACATTCCAGAAAGGACAAATAGGAGCCTAAACTCCCATTACAGTTTTACTGTCTGAATTACTTCTGTGAGGCAGCTAAATTGTCACAATAACCCACCTCACTGCTAAGTGCTTTGGAGTGAAACTTGCTGCAGAAATCCAAGTGATTTTACAGATTTTATAGTAGGGAATTAGTGTTTTCTCCTAGCAGAGAATTCCAGCTAGAAACCAAGAATTACTCATTTTTAAGTCCAAAGCACACCCTCAGTTTGCACTGATGCTCCAAATTATTTTAGTCAAGAGCTTACATTCCATGTGCTATTTTTTTCCCCTCCATCTCCAAAAATATACCTGTGTTCCTTCTTCACACTTTTCACCATTTTCACTGGTTACTTCCATGCGCATGAATTTGGGAGGGCGCCCAGGGCGTCTGCCTGGTCCAAATCTTCTCTTTCCTCGCCCACGACCTCGACCTCTGGTTCTGCTCCAGGTTAGATACAAAAAAAGACTAATTTGGATTCTCCACTGATTTTATAATTTCTTTCTCAGCACTCCTACTCACCCATTCAACTCAGCAACAATGATGCAGCAAATAATAAAATGCAGTAAATAATAAAAACTGAATAAATTCTGGAAGCAAAAACAATGGATTTCTGGCTGCTATCTATTTATTTTGAGCTTTATGAGAAGCCAAGGTTCAGAACACATTAAAATTTCTATCAGTAATCATGGGACCAAGAGGATTACTTGCTTCCATCCAGCCCTTTGCCATGGCAGACTTCATCTAACACCCCAGTTTATGTTGTGCTGGGAAGCATTTTCAGCATGATGGAGCAAGTGCACAAGGAAACCCATTTAAAATCTGAAGCCATAACATTTCTCCCCAAAAAGCATTCAGCTGTTGATGTCAGGCACCAAACAGAAGTGAACAATTTTGTGTCAATAAAGCAAAACAAAACAGAGTCACTTGCTACATTTCAGGAGAAAGAAGGCACCAGTATCTTCTGCTCTGTGACAGGTGTTTGTAGATTCAGTTTTTAATAAGCCAAGATAAACTATCTTGCCAGTGGCACAGTGGCACAATGAGGCACTAGAAGCCTTGTTTTCCAAGCTCTGTACTTCCATACCTCTGAGAAACACAGTATTTCAATACTGTGATATTGAAACATTACAAATATTTAAAGTCATTGTCAAAGAAAAACAAAACAAAAACCTCACTAATTTCAACAGACTATTTATTTCTCTCAAGCTATTTGTTTCACAGAGTCTCTCATACCAGTCAGCCTCCTCCTGCCATGATTTTCCCTTCTGGTACTGAGCTGATCTCTCCTGAGTTAGTCATTAAGATCTGCAGGACAAAGCCCCTCCTTTCTGCATGTTTGGGGAAGCACCCCAGTGATCCACAAGCGAAGCTAAGGCTGTCAGTACCTGCTGAAGAAGTCCAGCTTCTCGTCGTGGGAGTTGAGGTGCTGCTGGAGCTGCTCCGAGCTCATGAAACGCCGATTGCACTCGTAACATGGCCAGTTCTTTTCCTGCTCCCTGAGCACTGTTGGAAATGTCAGTAACACCATTTCACTCGTCACCAATTAAACCTAATATTTTTGCCCCCAGCCTCTCTATCCTCTGTGGGCCAGATTTCTCCCCTGAAGGTTAGACAGGCTGCAGAATACCCAGCCCTGCTCTGCTGATCTTTGCTTTTATGTCCTCTGCACTGTGCCATGACCATAGCTCATCACAGAGACACAGAAAGATCACTGGGGACAATTCCCATGAAGTCTCAACACTGTTAGTTATTCAGGGGGATTCTGAAGTTCACACTTGTATGGAAGAGCACCTACAGGATCGTGCCTCTGATTTAAGTTAAGGGAGATCAAGGGAAATTTCTAAATCTAAAGCAGTCATACAGCAGACAGTGAGTACAGAAACAGACCTCTTCCTGAGAGAAAGCAACTTAAAGAAAGCTTCCCAGAGGCAAAGGCTTAAATTAAGGTAATATTCTAATGAGAATAGTTATTGGAAATAAGCCCAAATAACACAATCTAGATCTGGTTTAACTTTTCCCAACTTAGCAGAAGTTTGGGAGCACTATACAGGCCATATACTTGAAAGTAAGGAATGCAACTTGCAACCACCACCACAATGAAAGCAGAAGATCCCAAGTTACCCTTCCTTTCCTCCTCAGTTATGTCATGGATCTTCTGGTTCACAAACTCAGCGTAGGAGGCAGCATACCACACCTGCAGCAGGGGCACAAGGTAACAGGACACTGAAGAGGAGCCAAAACTAATGGAAATTCATTTGAAAATGGGTTTTAAGCAATACATTTATTTCACTTGCCTCAACCACTAACTCTTATTTCTCTTTCCATCCTCAATAATAAAGTCTGGTAAGATCAATGTGGCCCCACTGAGGAATGAAAGAGCTTTGCTCAGTAAGTGCATCCACTTAATTTTAAGGTCCAGCTTCCTAACACAAATGTTTATCTCACACATGGCTCCCAGTAGCTAAAGGCAGTAAGATTAATCTCTTCAAACCCAGCTACATGACTGTAAAGGAAGGATGTCATCAGAGTACTGATACTTGTACCAAGAGGAATGGAAATGTTATTAACTTGGGGGATTTTCCATTTCTTTCCTGCTCTCCTTACATAGACAATAGGCAGCACCATCCACATAGACTCATTTAAAATGCTTCTGAGCTTCGGAAGGATTGGAGCAATATGGTCTTGCTTCCCAAAACACAGATCTGCCAGGCGCCAGAATGATGGACCCACTTTTGTCATACAAGGAATTCAAGCCTTCAGCAAAGGCAACCACAAGAGGCAGGAAGACAAAGTTCATTAAAGCCTAAAAGCAGATGCTCACATTTAGATGAGAATTCTTCCATAATTTCATTTGTTTGATGAAAAAGAGTGGATTTTAGAAAAGATTTCTCAAAGAAGGCATCAACAGATTTTCATCATGAAAAATTCAAACAAGTTTGAACCTGCAGTGGGCCACAAGCAGAGGTGAGGAGGATTTCAAGGACTCTCCAGCAGGTGTGTCACTCTGCAGGAATCTCACTATATGGACAAAGACAAAAGCCTGGAGCTCCTGGACTACACACCTGGCAGGCAAATCAGAACTTCCCAGCTTCAACTACTTTAATCTCCGGACAAAATGTGCATGAATGCCCTACATCCACTTGGGGAGGAAACGAAGTTACCAAGCCTTTCAGTTAGCAAGCCATTTTACCCCAAATGACACTACTAACACAAAGTAAGAAAAATTATCCTCCCACAGGGAGGTCTGTACAGATTTAAAGTCTGATTTCAAATTGTTTTAAAAACTGTTGAGAAAATGATGTTTTAATACACTTAAAATAGATTTGTAAGATTTCTAGTAATTCAGCTTAAAAAAAATTAAGAACTAATTTCAGATTGTCCTGCTCTTAAAAGGGTATAAATAGGCTTTTGCCCTGATTTAGTATGTGCACTTACTAAGCAATTGTTTTTCCAGACATATTGTTGAAATCTACATGCAAGAAGAGATTTGAAGAACAACAAAATTTCGTGATATCAAATTTTTTTTGTTCCCCCACCAGTGGCCCCAAAAAAGTTGAAAATTAAGGCTACCTCAGCTAGCCACACTGATAATCAATAAATTTTTAGAGGGAACAAAAAGCAAACCACAGGGAAATCACAACATCCTTTATTGTTTTTCACATGCAAATTTTCAAAAGCTCCAGGAAAGCTAGATAAAAGGAGAGACCACATTCACTTAAGGCACCAGAAAACAAGCCAGGAACACACAGGGCGAACTGGAAAGGTCATCCAGAATTTAAAAAGTAGGATTGCTGCAATAAAAATTAGATTGTATCAGGAAAATATATGTTGCGTAAAGCATGACAGGGAGAGACAATTTACCTATTTTTATTTTAAACTTCCTCATGAGCCAAAGCTCATTAAAATGCATATGTTTGTGACTAACTACTTACTGACTTCAGTGACAATCAATTCAGGCCAGGCTTTTTTCAGAGGAAAAAAGTTCTAAACCTATTCACATTGGTAGTTTTTGGCACTTGTTAGGCATCAACTTTTAAGTCACTATATAATCAGTAGAAAAAGAGAATTCTGACACACAAGCAATGCCATACCTTGAGTTCCTGCTTGGGCTCCACATTTTTAATGGTGGTGTAATAAATGTGGTGGCCGTACTGATAGGCCACCAGGTTCTGCTCCAGGTGATTTTGAGCTGGACGCACAAACATCATCCAGTTACACAGAGCCTCACTGGAAAGTTCAAACCACAAGTCCTCTTGCAAGTCTCGGTCTTTTCTGTCACCCTTATCAAGAGAAACCTGTAGCAAAATCCAATTACATGTGACTGTAACTGCCTGCCAGCACATTCAAAAGAATTTGAGTTACTAAGAAAACTACTGTGCCCATGCAACTGTTACATTAGGGGAGCAATGAGGACATAGCTAATTTTCTCTCTTTACTAACACGGATCCAGAAACAAGCAGAAAAATATTTAGCAACAGGTAAAGATTAACTAGGGAGGCATAATGGATCCTTCCAAGGCTTTCAGGAACAAGAATAATTCATTAAAGGGATCAGGCATAGTATGAACAAGTGACTATAACAAATAACACACAAGTAGCTGTAGCTTCAGTAGGCTACAGAAACATCAGTCAGAAGTTTCTAACTGGCAGACCTACTTTTCCTTTCATTTCTTGAGTCATGACATTGCCTCAAGCAGGAAGCAGCATTTTTTTAGCTGAAATTCTCCTGCTGCCTATGGTCACAACTTGCTTGTCACACACTGACCATCAGAACCCTCCTAAGACTGTGGATCTAAACTCAAACAAATAAAGGGCCAATATTTTTCTAGTGAAACAGCAAATAAATGGACAAAAGTCACTCAAACCCATTTTACCCCATACCAATTACTTGGCAAGAGGAAAGGCATAAAAATATCTCCTCTCCCCTACATCTTATGAACAGAAAGGTAAGAAAAATATGTTGAACTGATGCTACAACACGACACAAAAGAATGGCTGCAGAACGTCCTCAGAAGGGGGTGCTATTTTTATGTCCAGATGCTGCTTCAGCTCATGTGAGAGTGAGTCACAGCCTTCCATGTTATGTACCCTATATATATATATATCCTATCACTGTAATGCCAGAACATTCACCAGGATTAGTGTGTCACCCTGAATAACAGAGCAGATTTGAAGCCAAAACAATCTGGATATTTCTTAGTTACATTCAGAGATGGAAGTAACAAAATATCTCTAGTGAATTGATGAAGGTAGAGTGACAAATTAATGAAAATCAAAGCTTAGGCACAAATTGATTTCCCCTTTTCTCACCCTTACCTTCAAATGGATATAGCAGTCTTTGAGCTCAGTCTGTCTGACCAGGGGTCCTTCCACAGGCCCAAACTGTGTACGCTTTGGGATGCGCCTTTTGGAGAACACACCTCCCAAAAACCTGTCTATATAGAGCACCAGGGGAAGGCTGGCCCTTGCCCTGGTCAGCACAGGCCGGTTTGGGATGGGATGCAAAGGTCCATGTTTTGGACACACTGAGGGATGTGCGTTATTACACTCTTCACACCCTGCAACACAAAGGCAGAGAGGACATGACTTTTAGGCAGACATTCACACACTAGCTCAGAGACAGCCTTATCTCTCTCTAAATATCTTTGGCTCAGCTGTGGGAACAGTTATGCCAATAGTCTGTCTACATTTTAAAATATTAGACAGGCCAGTGTCCAGCAAAATAAGAACAAATCAGCTCAGAGACTTCACTAAAGACAGAATTTTGTCTTTTCAGTCAAGCAGTCTAATTTGAATTCACATTTCTGGGAATCAAGACTCACATTTACTCATTACTGCTAAATTCTGAATGGTTTTTGCCTCTCTTTACTAAAGGTCTAATGGAGAGGGAAGGAAAAAAGGCAGGGCATGTAGTACACTACATATGACTGCACATGCTTACACAAATCATTGGGATCAAAGGGTCGAGGTGGATCTGGATCCCACTCGTCCATGTCAGTGTCTTCACCATCTTCATCCTCATCTTCATCCTCATCATCTTCCTCTTTTGTTTCTATCCTTTCCATTTGATTCTGCAGAGGTGCCAAAGGATCAGAACCATCCACAGCCTCCATAGGAGGTAACACCTGGTTATGCACCGGTAACGATGCCTGAGGAGAGAATTCACAAACAATTCAAGCTGATTCACAAAGAAAACTACAAGGACAAGCCATGAGGGTCCTTGCTACTCTACCCTTCCTGCTGCCTCTGGAAATGGAGAGGAGGACAAGGGAAGGTGCTAAATGACTGCCAAGGAATGTTTTGCATGGCTGGCTGCTGCTCATGGCCTCGCTCAAAACACCTGTATTACTCCCTGGCTATACCCTGCCAAGGACTCAGTTCTCAGAAGAAACTGAACTCAGAGGATGTTCTCGACCCTCACAGAAAGTTTAAAACCATGTCCAGGCTCTGTGGATATTAACTGGAGCCTAAAGCTGTATTTTAATTTCTTTTGTACAGGTGAGAGAATCTGCACTTTGGCACACAATCTTGTCTTTACTCTTTACAATCCAACAAAACCAATCTCCAGAGTACAAAGGTAGAGGTCAAGAAGGGGTGAGGTAATGTGGAGACTAGATATAAACTATGGGACATGAAGAACAGTTGAGGGCATTGCATTCTTCCACTAATTTTCAAGTTTAGTCATTTCCTTCCTTAAAAGAACTGCAACATTTGAATTTTGGCACATATTCCATCACCCACCCAGGTTTCTCAGGTAGAGAACAAGAAACACTACACGCAGCAGAACTGTCTAAAAACACCGGCAAGGAAACCCAGTGGATGTTGCTGTGACAGTCAGTACTACACCTTCCGTTAACTTCACTTTCCAGCACTGACAGAATTTTAAGGTGGCTGTTCACAGAACCATCAGTGAAACAGGTTTCTCTGTATATTAAATACTATATCCTAAGCCCCCATACATTCCATGGTGAGACTAGGGAAGACAGTGCAAATCTGCACTACAGCTTTCTCACATCTCCTCCCAGATCACTTAGCCACATTTCATCCCCAGAGATGATGGAGCAATGGAATCAGTGCGCTCTTACATGAAAAAGGAAAGGGTGCCTGGCAACTTACTCTATCTGCTTGTGGCCCCTGCTCCAGAGCCACTGGCTGGGGGGGGTCAGCAACGCTGCCGAGCACAGACAGGTTGGTGGGATTCATGCTCTGAGCAGCAGCAGGCAAGAGCACCGTTACCTAAAATCACAGGCACTCATTTTAGCACTGCAGCATTTCCATCAGTCACTTAATACATGGGCAGGGCCCAGCATGCACAGTTCCCTTGAGCCCTACACTCTACTCAAAAACCGCTGCATTGCCATGAGTTTTGGGGTTCAAATAGGGATGATGGGCTTGGACAAAACCTGCAGCTCCTGGGAGAAAAGAGAAAGACTTCAAATCTACACTTTGCAAATTCTGAATTACCTATTACACATTTTAAAATTAAGGTCCTGGGTTCAATTGCACTAAAAACAGATGTTAGGAGCTCTTTAGCTCTTAGTAAAACCAGTGATTTGGAGTCTCTTTTCCTCTACACCCAAATTTACTTTCGTTTTCAAGGGAAAAGGTAAAGAAGGACTAAAAAATATTTCCTCTTTTTTTGACTTTTTCTTTCCTCAAGCAAACCCTGCTGATGGCTGAGGGGTTTAGAACTAGATAAGCTTTAAGGTCCCTTCCAATCCAAATCATTCTGTGATTCTATGATCCAGGATCCATAAAAACCAAGATGGTGTACTGACCTCATGAGAAGATCAACTTCTCAAAAAAGAGGATCCCAGCAATTATTTTTCTTTACATTTGGTCACACTATACATTTTTGTTTACATACTTTTTTTAGTGCTGTAACAACCAAATTAATGCATATTACTTTTTTTTATTGCTGAATGGATGAGAACAAAGTAAATAAATTAGTAAATAAAACAAAATTAAGACCTCTTGGAATCACCTTTCCTGCATTTGTCTCCTGCTTATCTATACAGGAATTTGCATTATTTCGTGTGACTTTTCATCCTTCTCTACAGCTGATATCACGTGGCTTTTAGTTTGTGTCTCTGACTGTTAAGCAGCTTTTATGCTAAAATCCAAGCTCTTGACTCTCTGCAAAGTGCTTAATAAATATCAGATAAAACTGAGAACAGTGCATTGGGCCAGTAGCAAAGGAGCAGACAACAAAATCCATAATGTAAGCACTCAGTACTCCAAACTAGTTGCTTTGTTTAAAGAGGTATTAAGAATAATTTATGAAACTCCTGAAAAACAACAGCAAAAAGACTTCAGGGAATGGTCCAACAGTGAAGAGGAAACCACCATGACAGTCTGGTATTGACACTTCTGAAGCCAAGTGGCATCATTTTTCCTGCAGTGTGCCAGCAAGGAGAGGGTCACACAGACATGGATCTGTTTGTACCCCCTATTAGCACTGCCTCCTACTAATCACACCAAACATACCCTTACTTGCACTTCCATGTCAGGCACTGCATGGATTATGGGCATTATTTTTATAAACCTCTCACTTTATTTCTACAATAAAGTTTTTTTCTGAAAGACAAGAGGAGCTTTAATTATTATTTTATTATTAGTTGTCAGTTCAGGAATGTCCCACATGAAATGCTGATGTAAAAACAGCTGCAAAGGCAGGAGTTGACATAATGAGGGATTAACCATTCACCAAAAAATTAATACATATGTTAGGACTGCTGTCAGACTGTGTTAGAATGGAGGACAGGCTGAGGCCACACAGGTCAGTGCTTCCGGAATAATAACAGCAGATCACCTCTGTTGTAACTGCCATCTGCACTGCTTACAAATAATCTCTATTTTTCATTAATCATATATTTGTTAAATGTGCTTTAAGACAATTAAATAGGAATTTCTGGCTCCTTGATGCAGGGAAATTGATGGAGCAAAAAATTCCAGAACAAAACTCCAGAGAAAAATGAAAAGACAGGTAACACCTTTATTGTGTCAGTCATTGCTTCCCATCTGTGCCTCAACCATTTAGAACATTTTTTAGCAAGAAAATTTGTTTTCAGCACAGATTCAATCCCTCACTCTGCCCCAAGACTGTCAATAAACACACATTTTAATGATGGCTTTGGTGATGATTCAGATCTAGTACATCCACACGTAATTAAAAACCCACCAAGCAGTAATGATTTTAAGTCTATGACAAGCAGAGAATTTCAACTACGGATCTGAAAGCACCTGTCTACAGCTGATTATCACAGCACAGTCCCCAAAGATACCAGTAAGAGTTAATAACAACTTCCCCATCCATGATGGATGTAAAAAGAATAAGGAAAAATCATCATAACCTTATAAACACAGGCTGCAGTTTTCTTTTTCTCCCTGCCCACCTCCCACTGGCAAGCCTAGCACACCTGATAAGGGAGCCAGTCACTGAACTTCTTCAGGTTTCACGCTTAATTTCCTGTGATGTTTCTAGTAAACCTAGAATTTAATCCAATTTTTCTATCCCTCAACAGCCTTCTGTGGACTCCAAGGCATTTGGATCAGAACCTGTAAGAGGACAACTGAAAACCCCACCTTTCCAAAATGGCACATTCAGATGACTACAGCCACATCTGCTGCAGGGATACTGTTGAAAGATTTTTTCATGCTATCTGGGGCAGTAAATTAGAATTCTTGTTGAATATGAATTAAAGAGAATAAACTCAAAATAATTCTTAACTTTTACTGTCATTAATGCTCAAGGTGATCATAGGTCTTGATCAGGGTGAAGCAAAAGACTAAGATTGTCACTGGACAACTTCAAAAACAGCTCATTACCCTCATGCACCACATGAATGTCCCTTTACCTTCCCTCACTGTTCCCTCACAATTTTAGGCACAAAATGAATAAAATCTCTTCCTTACCTGCTGGGTGGTAGCATCCTGTTGGACGTAAGCCACTTGGGACGGATCTGTAAACAGAGTCTAGACAAAGTGAAAAAGGCTTATCAAACCAGCCATGGGGGTTTTTACTCCCAACTCACACAAAAGTTATCTGCCACTATGAAACAACCCACATTTGAGCCTTTGTCAGCTTCTAACCTGCCTGTTACCACAGCAAACTACTTCAACTCACCCAAGTAGACCTAGATACATAGAAATTTAAAATTAGGTAATGCTCCATAAAGACTTAATATATTTATGTAGCACTTTGCATCTGTACAGCTAAAGTGTTTCACTTTTTTTTTTTTTTTCTAATTTACCAAAATCACTTTGTCAGTTGTTGATTTGATAAAATCTACAGGATGAAATTCAATAGCTCTGTCTATGCCCTTAATGCGTAACACTTAAAAGCAGGATAGAAGGTAACTGCAAGCTTTTTCTTCCTGAAAATTCACAAGACTGCTGCATGCTTTCTTTTGAGGAACTATCATGCACATCCTATATAGGACTTTGATATGGCCAGGATGCTGTTTAATTTCATAGAAGCCATGCCAACTTCAATATTCTGCAAGAACAGCCCTGACAGAATCCCAGGAAAAGCAAGACTAAGGATTGACTGAGGCCAGCCTTACTTAGCCAAAACTTGAAACATCTGAGCTTGCAGCAGCCCGGCTACAATAAAATAAAGCATGATATAATACAAATTCCTTTAGCACTGTGATAATTTCATCTCAGATGCAGAAGAGTGTCTGAATACTGCACATCTTTTGACACAATGACAGCATTCAGAGTTTTGGAGTTAGTTGGCAAGTAACTTCCTGGGAGATATGCTCTCAGGACATCCCTTCACATAGAAGCTGGTTTTCTGGGACAGCTGAGGGCTGCACAGGACACAATGTGCCACATGAGGCCCTGCCAGCATGATGGGAGTGTCAGGTACGTGCACTTTGCAGCACAACTAATCTGCCCTGTCAGCAAAGATATTATAAAACACTCTGGACAAAGCCAGCCTTTTCCTTTTTAATCTGTCCACACCGAGGCAGAGATGCATAGCATACTGACCCCATATAAACATGTGCTGCAAGGGAATAAAGGCTACTTGATATAATTATGCAGAAGAAAATGAATATAAAAGGTCTATAAAATCAGCAACTCTGCAGAGACCACAAAATTACGTTGAATAAACAGAGATGCTCTGCAAAAAGACACGACTGTTATTGTAACTATCAATTATGACAACTGTACTACACAAAACAAAGATTCTTCCAGAAGGAACATAGATGGCTCTTAGCTTTTTACTGGATATAAGAGGCAGAACTTCTGGTGAGATTATCCTTGTTCTGGAAAACACCTTTGAGTAAATTATAATCTCATCCATCTTCAGTGAAGTAACCAGCATTTCATAATTCATAGCCTCAACATCCTTTGATAAGCAGATTTGCACATCAGACAAATGAACAGCATGAAGTCCCTGCTCAACAGTGGGCAGAGAAAACTGCTGGGAGCGACTGCCTGCTATTTTCCAGTCATACCACTTGGCTGGTAACTGGCCTTCATCCCAAATAAGACTGTTGTGCTTTCTAGGTGCCAAAACCAGGGTGGGCTCAGAACCACACGTGCCTGCGTAGCTTCCACGGGGTGGATGTAAACGAGGGTGTGCTCCGAGGTGTCCACAGAGGTGTAGGAGGTGCCGTCAGCCGTGTAAACCACCTGCTGTGCAGGGCCGCGCTCCTGCTCATCACTGTACATGATCTGGGCCACTGCCCCCCCCTCGGGGACAAAGTGCACCTGGGGAACAAACAGATCCTGGACTCGCACCAACACAGGCCAGTGGGACACAGCACCAGAGTCCTGGGGTGCTTTGGAAAGCAGAGAGAACTTGTGTCCCAACTAATCTGAATGCAGTGAAAAACACATATTTCAAATCTCACTCAATTATTCTACCAACAGAAATCTGGACACAACATCCATCAGTGTCTGTTTTTACCTTGCATTGCATCTTAAGACGTAACTGCTACAAAGGGCACCCACACATACTTAGTTCTTGCGTGATGCTTCGGAAATTCGTAAGGGAACAAGTTCCCATTTGAACTGACGTATCTATTAAATGTACTGGGATATTGTTTCCCTTTATGCTCATATCCCTTTCAGGATTTATGATAATTACTTCATTCAGCTAGTTCTCTAGTTGGAGGTAATTTTTGCTGTCTGATGAGAGGCTAACAGAATTTATTAACTCTGATACTCCTCAAGATATAGTATTGCAGCTCTCACAGTCAGCAGTAGGGCATATTAGACTGCTTCTCTGTAGTATGTATGTGCAGCACCAGTAGAAAATTCAACTATTTGAACAGACAAACCTATACCTAAAAATATTAAGCACAGATTCCAAGGACCACTGGAACAAGTTATGTCTAGGGCTGCACTTTAAATCTAAACAACTAAATTTTACCAGAACATTATGATCATAACTGATGATATTGATAATTTTTACATTAATATGTATTATATTATTAATAATTATTTATAATTGTGATCATAACTGATTACTGTGATGATGGCCTATATTAAATGAGCCAGAATACTGGATTCCAGTGAAAACAGGATTATCTTTAGATTTTGCCATCCTTTACATGCTGAAAAGCATTTTCAGTGCATGGGAAAAACAGGACAGTGAGGAGGAAACCTAGTTTGAATACAAGTATTCATAGTCACATAAAATTCTTTCACATAAAATGATACCACAGTTACATAATTTGCTTATTTTGTTTCACTTTTTAGCTTATGCTTCAGAAGACACCTGGTACTTCCCCCTGGATGCTCAGTGCTGATTGTGTACAATAAATCTTCTCACAAACACTACAATTTCACATTTGGAAAGCACTCTGCACACAATCATTAAGCCTTAAAACTGCCATGTGCAAACAGCAGCATGGTTATCCCATTGCAGAGAGAAGGGAACACAGGCCATTTAAAACTGCCTTTCTTTGCAAATTTCAAAGCTGGAAATTACTAAGAGAGGCAGAATTTCTCTGCTTGTGGGTCAAATATCATGCAGCACCCTTTTCCTATCATACTTAAAAGAGTAAATCAATTTACAGAATTCTAGAAATTCCCAGTTGTGTTGTCTCAGAGGCAGAGGGACAAGCTGTATACAGCAGAACCTGAAAGAATTAAAACTGCAGAATTAAAACTGCATTAGTCACTTACAATTAATATTTCCCCCTTCCTCACTACCCAGATGTCTGGCTGGAAAAAATTACTTGTATTACTTTCCCCAAGGTCCACCCACAGTTCCATCTGATTCAAATGATGCCATCAAAAGCGGCTGCCACAGAGCACAGATTTTGTTCATTACTCTTAACACCCTTTATTCTCCCGCACAGTAATAAACGTATTTGGACCCTGAAACTTCTAAAGCCACTGCTTAGTTTTGTTCAACTCATTTCAGAGCTCTGTGTCTTCACTGCTGCGGTTTGCACAGTTCAGTTTCTGAAGCTTTAACCCTAAATCACCACAGAAATGTTTGTACTTCTGCTCAAATGCAAACTGAGCTTCTAGACTCTAAATCAGGATTGAATGGGAACTAACCCTCCTCACCAATCCCAATCCAGTCCAAGCAGAGGCGAAGCTCTGGCTAATCACCTGAGCAGTATTCTGTTCCTGTCCTGCAGATTCAGTCCACACCTGAGGACTTTCCTCTTTCAAGTCCATCTCCTCCCTGCCTGTGTGCTCCATGAGGAGGAGGAGACCTACTGGAGTAATATCCGGCTGAAGGGATTCATCTGTTCATTGTGTTTCTGCTTCCAGAAGACAAGGTGATCTTCAGCAACATGGCTGTAAAAAAACAGAGAACAGAGACATTAAAACCAGCATGAGACATGGCATGGAGCTATGAGGGATTTATTATAAAATACAGAGTAAATACAGAGTAATACAGAGTAAAGCAGGTTTGGCTTTACAAACGCCTCCTACAAGACCCAAACACCTTAAGTTATGGGAACAAAGGAACAGAAATCTTATCTCACTGAGCATGGTCAAGTCCTACTAGTCACCACTTTCCCTATCCCATTAAGGAGGAAACAAATCAACCATTGCACCAATTGCACTGAAAGATTACGCTGAATTCTTCCTTGGCCACAGGCCATCTACACCACCTTCTCCTCAGTGTCCTTCTGGCACCTAGAGGCCTAGAAATAATGCAAAAAATGGACCTGATTCCAACAAGAAAACATTATGTTCAGAGATGCATCACCAGTTCCTCAGTTTGCCTGAATGAGATTTTGTTTGAGCACCAACTGGTTTTCCATCTACAGACAGATTTGACCTTGGACAAAACCCCAGTCCCAGGTTAGTACAGTGTTACAATAGCCAACTAAAAAGGAACAATGAAACTTAAACTCGCAAAGAGCCCAACAAACTGCTTCCAAGCTTGGTTTAATTCACTTCTTGCAATTTTACTGGGGCCTCTCAATCTGCTGTTACAATCCCAGAAGGGTAATTTACAGCTCTGGTGATTGTTTGAGTCCGTGGTTCAGCACCTTCCCAATCCTTCATCTCTAATGTCATATTAAATCACAGGCCAGGAATTAGCATGAGGCTGAGCCCATTTCATTTCTCAGCTACTCCAATTAACTTTATTTTATATCCAGTACCTTGCTGGGCTGATCCAACGCCAGCACCCATCTGTGCACCAGAAAGGAAGCAGAAGGCTCCTTGCTGATGCTTTCATTCAATTGCATTTTAAATGCAAATTATTTTAGTCATAATTTATCCCTATAAATGCTAGCATTTGGCTTGCCATTGACAAACTGAAAAATAGATAAGGAGAGGTAAAAAAAGTAGCAGGCACTTTCTAAATCCTCCTAATTTTGCCAGCAAGGACTAAGCTGTGCAGACCTGAGCACTGACTATTCCACTGGGCCTGACCAGCATGGATAAATCATCAGGGCAGGGAAGCCTCAGGCTAATGTCACTGAACTGTGTGGTGGAGCAAAAAAATCATATTACTTACATATAGACAAAGAAAAACAGTGGGAAAGATATTTCTGGGCATTGCTAGACACCAAGTCTTGCTGCTACTGGTGTCTGGAGTTAACACTTGCTGTCTCACGCTGAGCAACCCAGCACATGAGCCCTAAAAAAGCACACATTGAGGAACCGTTCTGACTTTCTCTTATATCCAAACACTTCCAGTTACGGGAATACAGGGACAGAAACCTTATCTCCATTAATATTGCTTGATACAAAACATCCCCAAAAACCACTTAGGAGAAAAATTAAAATAAAATCTACATACCAGCATTCAATGCCTGAGCTTAGTATGAACAAATTAACTGCAGCAAACATGAGTGATAAACACCAGGCTTGTTCTCTAAATGTGGAAGGTCAGGGCAATTTACAGATAAATATTATTTATTTATATATCCAAGTGCACAGATGCTCTGATCTATAAAAAATACCATCCATCGCTACACAGAACCTTTCTTGTTATGTTTTTAAGGATTAAAGTAGGGATTTTCTCATATCTAATCCTACCTCATTCACTGACCTCCTTCACTCATTTTATCAGGTATAGGTTCTTTATTCAGAACATATATAAATGTATACATATATCCGGTATATGATCACCTCTACCTGTGCAAAATGTGACAGCATTTATGTCAGTAACACACTGTGAACAACTTCTTTGCAAAATTTAGCACCTATCCTGTTGATAATCTTCACCTGGTTTATCCACAGCAGCTCTTTTCCTAGACTGCCAGTATTAATCAAGAGCCAATTCAGGTAATGGCACTAACAGTAGCCGGTAGTTTAATCAATTACCTAACTGCTCAGAAAACTAAAAATAAAAAACAAACATTAGAGGTTCCACTTTGGGGTGGCTTGCCTTTAAAAAAAAAATCCTATTAAAAAGAAAGCAATTACATTACCTACTAATTGAATTAAGGGAAAGGCACAGTTCTGGCTAATTCCACATGATGCAACAAGTAGAATTTTTGGCTGACCTTCCCCACCAGCAGACAATGAAGGTCTGAAGAAAGATGCTGACTCACTCCTGCAGAGTCATTTTGGCACAGATAACTTACAACTTGAGTACAAAGGAGACTGAAGGGCTCAGGCAGGGGTCTTTAAAAGACAAAACTGGGAATTAAGATTCATCTCTGAAAAAAGAAGTACCAAAAAGTTGGAAAGAAAAGCAGAAGACAATCATTTCATGGTTCTGAAAGTTAGCACTAACTTAAAATCTTGAGGGAAAAATAAAGCAAGGCTGAACCAAATTCAGTGCCCCAGTGCTGCAGATTCTATAAACAATCCGGTCATTGCTGTTCTTGACAGAAATGAAACTAATAAACAGCTCAGCCCAGCCAATTGTGCAGCAATAAGGAACAATAGCAGTAACTGCAGGATTTGCTGATGCTTTCAACTTCTGTACTTCCAAATTCATCCCAGGATTGACCTCTGGTATGCATTCCCTCAGTACATCTGTAATCATGAAAACACACTGAAAAGCACATTTCCCTGGAAACATGGATGTGCTGAGAAAGAAGATAATGCAAGAGGAGACAGGCTGTGTCCCAGAGAGGTCACAGGGACAGGCAATATATAGGGCAGGAGGCAGGAGCAAATGTTGAAACTCAGCTGTGAAATAAGCCCTGCAGTCAAGCCCAGAAGCTGGAAAAATCTAACCCAAAGTCACTGACAATAGAACTGCCACAAAACACCAACACCTGAGCAAGTTTTCTGACACTGATGACACGAAGATCAAACCAACTTTACTCACTGATCATTCATAGGATGCTCCTCCTCATTAATTCTGCACAATCTTATTTCCTTCCCTAGATTCCGCTCTCAATTCCCTGTCTTGACACTGACAGCCACAGTGTCTCAAAATTTTAACTACTTCCCTGTGGTCTTCTCTCAGCTTTGGTAGTTTTCTAGCAGAAATAAATGTGAAATTTTGGACATAAGCACTGCCAAATCACTGGCATGCAGGGAGCACTCTCTGCTTGCTCTCCACACTGTTCACCTATGGATTATCCTTTGCAATTGTTGATTTTTCTCACTGTATTGAACACATCAGACATTTTCAGACAAGCTAAATAAACACCAAGGCATGCACCTCAATGGGAAGCTCTGCTGTGTCCAAGGGACTACCATAAGGATCTGTGTAACAGAAATTGAAACTCAATTGCAGAAATCCTAAAATAAAAAAAAAATAATTAAATATAAAAGGCATTGTGATAGGATAAACTCTTGTAAGTTCTTACTTTTCTGGAAGTTGAAAGATTAGTCAATTATAACACATCACCCAATAGTCACCCAAAATTCCACCAGCACCCCAATGCTTTCACACAATCCAATGAGCATCACAAACATGAGCAAGAAGCAATGCCAGTGGGAGATGTTAAAGCATTTACAGTAACTGCAGACACAGCATTTTCCTCCACAAATAACAGGCATGCCTCACCCTGTCTGTGCTGGGTGATGACACAAGCTGAAACAGTAACTGGCATTACTAAAGAGTACCAGTACAGTCCAGTACCACTCCAGTAGGGCAGTGGTGAGGCAGTGACAGTCTAGTGTCACCATATATAGTGCAAATCATGACACAACAGAATTGAAGAACCAGCACAGCTCCTGTGACTTTGAAATATCTCCTCTAGTGGAACATTGGCTCATTCTGAGCTGTGCAAATAAATTAAACATCCCTTCAGGACAACACAGGTTTTTCTCAGAACACCATTCACATTCAGTTTCCTTTTCTCAACACGTTCTGGGATCTGCTGCTGTCACAGACCTACGGCCATCTCTCTTTAGTTTTTGCATTTTACATAAAATCCAGAACACTTCATTAATGACAAAACTTCTCCTCTGCTGCTCCTGATGCCTCGAAAGCATCTTTGTGTCATTGTCTGACAGTTCTTAATTTTTTTTTTTTTTTTTTTTAAATCTTACTTAAAACCTCCTTTTGACCTTGGCAACACTCTCCAACTCCTTCCTCCTGCTCCTCCGGGATGGTGTTTTCTCTGAAGCTGTATTATTAAGTCAGCAGCTTCCCCATGAACTGCATTCAGCTCCAGAGGATGGGAAAGCACTGCTCAGAGGGCAAAGCACCTCATTGCCTATCCAACAGCAATGTCCTTGCTAGCTTTGCTGCCTCAGCATTAGACACCCTGGGCCACCATAGCTCCACGTGTATCCCCTCACAGGTGCATCCATGATCCCCCCCACAAGCACGCAAGAGTGAACGGCGCTGTAAGAGAAAACCACTAACAGTAAAATCACTGTTGGCTCGTGTTTGGTATCTAAGTGTTTTAAACACAAGTTAAACCCAGTGAACTCACCTAGGGCTTCAAAGGTAAGCTCTCAAAGTCAGGAAAAACCACCACCAAAAAAAATTAGAATCAACAATAACCATATTTTCTTGGCAAACTTGCTATTAAGGAATGACCATTTCTTTCAATGCTGTGACTACACAAGAATATACAGAGACAAAAATCTCTGGGGACTTCAGCTGCAGCAACCTCTGTGAGGCTCACTAAGGGCATTCTGCTGAAAAATCCAAGCCAGTGGCTGCCAAACACTCTTTTTTCCCCCTAACCTGGGATGAGAAAGGAGGAATTTTAAAGCAGAGCAAGGGGAAAAGACCGCCTCCTTGCTCAGAGAGGAATAAAGCCACTCAGTATCTCAAACGAGAATCCCCTTTACAATAATGGTGCATAAACCAGCTAATGTGATTTACTTCCCAGTGTAAAAGAGTCTTGCCATAGCCTGAGGTTCCCTGCAGCAATAACAGCAGGGACTATCGGCTTAATCCTCTCACGATTGAGCTCTCTGACAACTGTATGCCACCCCAGCCATGGTACAAAAGGGGTTTTACGACTCTGAGTCTTCCTCCAGCTTTTAATATGAAAATGATTTATTATGCTCAAAAAGAACATCACATTTGCCTGCAAAAAGCTTTATCCACACTTAAACTCAATTATTCTAGTTTGTCTAGAAGGCAGAGTCAGTGCATTTCCTGAGATCCTTTAGCAGGAATGTGCTTTCGCTGCAGCAAGAAGGTTTCTAACCTCATTGAGGACTGAGTCAGGACTGTTGTCACCTCTTCTGCATTCCCATTCATCACAGGCAGACACTGTTTCAAGGAACTGTGGCCCTGGTGCATTTTGTGTGAGTGTTATCAATCAGGTAATGTAAAACCACATTATTTATGTTTTACTGGTGAGTTAAAAATGGAAATCATACTAGGGCTGGGACAGCAAGAATTATTAATCTCCACAAAGGGAAAACTGGCTTCAATTTATTTTGTCATGTAATAAATAGAAGAGCTCAGCCAAACACGAACACTTTGCTGCCATTGTACATAATGAATCTATCTCCTCATGGCACATCCATCATCAAAGCAACAATGAGCTGGAAAAGATCTCTTAGACCAAGGCCAGTCCTCTGCTAGACATCACATGTGACAGTCCCTTTCCTAAAAGGACAGTGCCCAGGCACTGAAGGTGACAGCACAACAGTCTGGTATAACTATTCTCTCACAACTTATCAGGTAAGTAGCTGAAAATCCATTTCTACCACAGAACACAGGAGAGAATCCAGCCTGAGCACAGGTTAACATCCTCCTGGGAACTACCAAGGCTGTGTTTAGATACCTACTCAAGAGATGCTCCAAGGACATCTCTCTTGAGTCCTAATTCTTGTATGATAAAGTATTTCTCACACTGTCCTCTCAGTGAGCAAAAACTCAACTTCATTACTTTCTACATATGCAAATCGCTTCTTTAGTCACCTCTCTTCCCATTTGCTCAACATGTACATGTCTACTCCAGCAACTGATTTCTTCCTCCCACCCTCAGCTTCCTGAATCTATGGCCACATTCCTCATGTTGTCTTCGTAATGTTTCATCCTCTGAGGCCCCTGTGATATCATGGCTGTTGAGTCACACACTGCAGTTTTTGGGCTCCAGCTGCTCGAGGCAGTGACCGTGCCTTCCTAAAGGATTTGGTTTATAAATCACAGAGAGAGAAGTCTGATAAAGCAAGACAGAAGGGAATACATGCATTTAAAGCATAGGATGACACAAAAGGAAAATAAATGTCTGGATCAGCGGCTTGTGCCCACACAACCTTCAAGATGGCTGTATTAGGGGTTACTGAAAGAAAACAAACCATTCCCCTCAAGTTTCTTCCTGCCAATTTTTTTGTCTCACATCCCTTCTCCTCCTCCAGTAAACGCTTTCCAAAAGAACTGTCAGCTGAAGGGGATTCTTCCCCTTCCTACAAGCAGGTGGTGCTGCTTCCTCTCTCCTTCTCCCACCCCCCCTGCACCTCTCCTCTGAATTTAAATCACCTGTTGTAAAATTCAAAAAAATAAAACTACCTTGTTTCTGCACACAAAAGCACATACCTGAGATGGCTCCTTCAGAATAGCTGCTGCTCTGCACTACCCCAGAGAACCAATGAACTATCTGCACCTTTAAACAAGTGGGAACTAACATATAGAGCCATTTCAGGGCTACAATACATCTGCATGTTTTACTAGCAGGAGATAAAAGTGACAAATAAACCCAATCTCATGTTCAAGTCCAAACAAAATTCACCATAAAATACCAACCCACTTAATTAGGTACACTTAGAAGTCCATTAGAATTCAGTGTACACAGCTGCCAGCAGCTGCAGGTGGCCAGGAACACACTGGAAACGGCTGCTCACTGCAGAGCAATTTACCTCAGGAGAGCTCATCCAAGGATTTTCTGCAAAGAATAGGACTAAGGGTGCCAGAGGAGGGCAGATAATACTACAGACCCGTTTCTCCCTAAAATCAAATTTTCAATTATTCTATCAGATAACAATAATACCAACTACCCCGATATCTTATCCTATAAACAAGATAATGAAACTGTCTCTTTTCGCACAAGAGAGGCATCCATGAACCAAAATGCCAAAAGGCATCACAATTTCAGAGAGAAGTTTTCCATTTAAGGACAGACCAGAGCAATACACACTCCTGCACTACTTTTCCTAGAAATGAAGGCATTAGAAGGCTCAAGACTGCCAATTATTTTATTGTGTTCACAAAAGATGAAAATAATCCACTTGTAAAATCAGCTGGTGATTCATTAGCATCTCATATTCTAACTGAACTACAAGAAAAAAAACCCTGAATTATTAAAAATCTGATAGAAGAAAGCAAAAGTTCAGTATAGTCTCTATTTCTATTGAAACTCACAGGGAAACATTGATAGGCATTTCACACACCCAGCTTTGCACTTGATCATTCTTTCAAGGCCTGTAAGAACCGTCAATTTAGAACTATATAGTGATACACTAAACAGGTTGATGCTGAGGTACCAAAAAGTGTATCACAAATACTGACCCTTCATTTTACTGTCAGGACTATGACTACCGTCTGTAGCCTAAACCAAGTTTAAATTGCAAATTAGGGACTCTGTAAGAGCCCTCTTGAGGCTCTGCAATGTACAGCTGAGAGGTAAAAGGTGACCACACATAGCTCTTGTACAGGGAAATAACCCTAAAAATGTGAATTATTCCTTTAGGATGAGTAATTTTGAAACTCATAGCATCAGGACCTCGTTCTTCCATTCCAACTCAACCTTTTAACAAAGTCACATAACCCCATTTTTAATGGAACTGGGGCACAGGAGGGGAAACGGGACAACTCAACAACAACACCCACAGAGCAAGAGCCACAAGATTAAGCATCCACTTGTTATGACCATACCAAGGCCACAGAAACAGGGTCTTTGGCACCAAGACCACTGTCAGGAGACCAGTGAACCCCACAGCTTCCACCTGCAGAAACTGCTGTTACACACACCAGGATTTCATGAATAGAACCCGCTCAGGACAGTGGGGAAGGACCTAACTTCCCTCAACACCAAGCCTCAGGGCCACCCAGCCAGGAGCCTTGCCCTGTTGGGACCACACAGATGCCCAGTAGGCCCCCCGGGGCAAGATAACCTCATGAGGGTGGAACGCCCAGAACACACCACACCACTGCGCCTCACAGGGCAGACTGGGGGACCCCCTCCACCCACACCCCCCTGATAAAGTCTCCACGGCCACCAACAGCCAATCCGAAGACGGGGTGAGACGCCCCCTCCCCTAACTAGGCCAATAGGAGGCAGGGGCGCGAGGCATGCGGCCAATCGGCAGGCGTGAATGCCCCCCCCTCACACCACCCGCTTCCCGCCGCCGCCGCGCCCCCCCATCCGCCCCCGCCTGAGGGCAGCGGCGCCATCAGCCCCTCGTGAGAACGCCCGGCGGCCAGCCGGCCCCAACCACTGAGCGCCAAGGAGGGACACGGGCGGGCGGCCAGGGCAGAGGCTGAGCGGACGGGACAGGACGGGCCAGTCGCGGAGGGCGGGAGAGCTGGGCTGAGCGAGGGGCCAGAATTATGGTGGAGAGATAAGACCCCCCCCCTCCCTCCCACAGTGCTGGGGAGACAAAACATGGCTCTACTTCCTCTTTCCCCCCCCCGCCCCCCCCCCACTGGCGGGAGCGAACGGTTTATCCCGGCCCCGCACCGCCAGCTCTGGGCGCCATCTTGGGTGCGACTAAAACAACAAGTCTAAAACCCCCGGCGGGTCCCTGCGGCGTCCCCGGGCCGCGCTGCCCTCCCGGACCGTCCCATCGCGTTACCTGAGGGGGTCCCGTGCGGGCGCCGCGCCCCGGCCGCTGCCGCCGGCCCCGCGGCGGCCCCAAACCCCCCCACCTGTCCTCACCTCACAATGGTAGCTGCAGAGCGGGAGGGGGGTGGCCGCCCGGGCCTCATTACCATAATCTGCCTGGCAACAAGCCGCGGCGTCGCGCGCTGATTGGCTGAAACTCCTCCACCAGCCACGATGTGGCACAGAATTCCCCAAGGAAAGGCTTGGAGCGCCCAGGTCAGGGGGCTGGGGCGTGGTGGGGGGCGAAACACACACCCCGATCCGCGGGAGGGGAGCGGGGTTTCAGGGGGGGGGAGGGGGGGGGGTGTTCTCTTCCCAGGTTTTACTCTCACCTTCGGTTGCTGGTGGCCAATCAGAGCCCCTGTCTCATCCCCACCAGTGGTATCTCCGCCAATCAGGGTGCGCTTTTCATCGCGGCGCTCCGCCCCCGCACTGGGAGAGGCGCTGTGGGCGCCGCGAGCAGTGCCCCCTGCTGTGGGGGTGGGGGCGGCGCCGCGCGCCCCCTTGTGGCGGGAAGAGGCGGGGCGGTGACACCTCCGACATCCGTCACTCCCAATTTTCCAGGACAGGTAGGGCCGGGCCCATCCCCTTCTCCCTCCTGGTTTAGGAGGCGACTCCCAAACTTCTCGTGGGATCCCGTCCGTAATGATCTACAGCCCCTTCGGCGCTATCTAGCAGCTCCTTGGAGCAGAATTATCTAAAATTGTGTCAAAACCAGTGGATTCCACTGGAATTTTACTTAAACCTGATAAACTAAAAGCTGAAACGTGAGCTATTAATATGTGTCGAAGGTCAACCCATGAGGAGATGCCCACTAAAAGGCTGCTTCTGCCTAAAACGTCCCTAAATGGTGCTCTTTTTTTTTTCATGGTACATGTGTCGGAGTCCTAAATGTCTGCTCAAAGAAGGATAATAATTACCATTGTTCAAAAATGTAACTGATTGGTCATTCCAGTGCAGTTACTGCCATATTTGTGTTTAGTATTTATCTATTTGTGTTATGGTGGCAAGAAAAAACATCCCTTTCTTATCTCTTGTTTGCCATTAGCACACGCTCAGGTAGCTCTTTAATCCAGTAGGTCAGTAGATATTTCAGCCAGACAATCCCTGTGTTTAGGACCTTTTAGTTTTATTCTAAATAGCTTCATGGACTATGTGTAAACCACTGTTCACTGCAGTGTGGGCAGCTACAGATCCCTCAATAGGCCATTGTGGTCAACTGACCAAAGCCCAGGAAATTTGGGTTAAATATTAATCACTACTTTTACAGAACTGGTTTTGCTCAGTCTCTGTGCTGGGAGAACAGCGAGAGGGTGAGATCTTGGTGCCATTAATTGTAACTCTCCATTAGGTCTGTCCTTTTAAAGCCTGGACTAGTCTTTTAAATTAAGAGCTGCTATTGTAAATTTAAATGATCCCATGTTGTACTGACCCCCTTCCATAAGCAATCAAAATTTCAAAAACAGCCCACAGAAATACAAATTTTCTAAATTGTGTTTATGATATTAAAATGTTAGATATGGATTTTAAACCTCAAGTCAGCAGAATTAGTTTAATTTAGAAGTTTGATAATTTTTTCCCCCCTTAACTATACTTCTTTACATCTCTGGGCAGTTCTCTTAATTTAAATTATGGGAGTCATAGAGCCAATTTGTTTTTCTGTCCGATAGAACCAGCTTCAATTTCATTATACCGTACTGAAACTTCAGGAGAATAAGTACTACAAGGACATACATAAAAGCAATCAAAACTGCTTTATTTCTTACAAATTTTAAAACCTGCATGTGTTGTTACTTTTTTTAAAAAATCAAGATGCTTTTTTATTTGCGTTTTCCAAGAGTCTCCTAACATTTTGGAAGACTTGGTGGCTCCGTCACAAGAGATGTAGTCCCATGGTGGAATACAGAAGAGTGCCCTTTCCTGAAACAGCTCACATTGAAAGTTGTTCCACAGGTTATTTTTTTCCCTTTGTAGTCGAATCAGTGCAAGTTTGCCATGGGTGCACTAAAGCTGCCAGATGCTGGTCTGATTCATCCCCTGCAGTATCCGGCAGCTGATGTAATGCCTATTGTAATTCCCACATTTGATGTGTTGTTTCTGATGCTCCAGCACAGGCTTTGTTTCCCCCACAGCCTTGTGCTGGCAGAGAGAGAGGCCTTCACATGAGGTTAATTTATTTCTAATCTGCATAGTTCAAGTGAACTACATGAAATACCCCTCTTCACCTCCAGTCTGGAAGGTGCTGTAACCCTCCTGAAAATCCTCCTTTCCCTGCTCAGCTCCCAGGCCATCAGATCCATGTCTCTGTCCCTGCATCATCTCATTTGGATACTGCTGCTGCAGCAATTTCTCTCATCTGACAGAAACCAGTTCTGTCTCTTGCCTCTGGTCACTCCAATGTTAATGTTCCCACCAGTTCCCAGGTGGAAGCAAGTGTACTGACTGGCTTCTCCCACCTTTTTCAGATTCCAGGTGGAAAAGCACACTGGAACTCCACCCCATTTAATTTACTTATGAATATCTTTCTGCTCTCTTTTCCTTGTACCTTCTCACCCCTTCCTTTCTCCTAGAAAAACCACTCCTAAGTCTCTGCCATAAAAATAAGCCTCCCATACCTGGACCCTACTCCCTAAAGCTGCTCCCCAACCCTCTCTCAGACCCCTAGAAAGATTTTCTGCATTTTCCCCTTCTATATGGATGTTTCAGGTTTTGTCTGGGTTATTGGATTTTTCTCCATGACATAGTTCCATTTTGAGAAACATACAGATTAAATATGACAAAGAAAAATGCTCAAGTGCTCTAAACTCATTTGAGTTATAGGAGCAGCCACTGCCTCCTTGGCCCTGGTGACCTCCCAGTCTCATTCTGTGCATGACAAGTAGGTACTTAGGTCTAGATTCCCAAATTAAACTGCACATGGAATTGGGCTGTGCTTTGTGGCACCTACTTCCCACCCCCATGCAAGTCAGCAACTGGCTGTGATTTAACACTCCAATTGAGAAGATGGAAAAACTTCAACTCTGTCCCTGTGTCTGTTACAACCTGCTAAATTATAATGCAACTGAAATGTAATTACTTTTCATCCTGCACAGAGAATACAAAATGTGAATTCACTAGTTTGGAGTAAGCCACAATAAATTTAATTAAAGTGGCCTCATGTAAAACACATGCAAGTACAATAAAGTTATTTTATTGTGGTTCTCAGGATCACTCCTCCCCCAAAAAATTAGTCTGTTTTTTTAAAGCATGCTGAATTAATCCCTTTAACTGCAAGAAAAAAAATGGACTAAAACAAGTTTGAGGGTGTTATAATAGTACCTACATCAACTCAAAAATTTAAACTTTATTTTAAATGAAAAACATATCCTTAGCTGAAGCATTTCACCTTATGCATTCACTATTAGCTCTCTTTTTGCCTGAGTTGTCCCCAATCAAGTGGCATTTATCCTCCAACTGTTAATAATAAAGAGGCACAAAAATAGGCCAGGAAACAACTGGCATCATCACCCCACTCCCCCCAGCCCCCTCATTTTCACTGGTCATTTGATAAAAGATACAGCAAGTTTTAGGAAAGGACAGCTTTTCAGTTTACTGAAAATCTATTTAGCAAAGCTCTGCTGGGGTGTTGGGATAGGAAAAGTAAGTCCTGATGCCAGAATGCCTGCAGGGAAAATATTTTGCCACTCACACACCAATATCTCCCTGACTGCATTAGAACAGTATTTATAAAGGCAGCTGCTGCTCCTGATGATGCCTTGACATCCCATGGTTTTAAGGAGACAAATCAAATGGGAGTTTGGCATTTCACAGCTTTTGCTGCAAACTCTCTCTTTGCAAGATTCTGCAGGGTTAGAGAGGGATTTTTCCTTCTTGTGCTCAGCTGTTCCTGTGGAGCCGCAGCCTTTCCACAGGCAGCATGTCATGGTTCCAGTCAGCCCAGTTTAGGCAAGTGCAGTAACTCCAGTGCAACCCTGTTCTTCTCTGCATTGCCAGACTTGTTAATTCTTGGAGCATTTCCCAGAAATCTGCACTGGACAGATGTAGTTCAACTTCAAATCCAGGTCAGCTACTTCTTTAGCTGGGATTTAGTGCACACATTTCTTCTCTGGGAAGGATCTCAGCTACCATGATCCTGACAGCACTAAACTGCCAGCGCCCAACGCCACCGGCTGATTTCCCACGGGAGTTCAGATGTCTCCACGACCCAGCCCTGGTTGTGTCGAAGCATTGTCATTAGCAGGAAACAATTTGTGCATCGACTGCAAAGTAAACACAGAGGGTGTTTGGGTTTCCTTTCAGTTAATCAGGCCAGAATGACTTAGGAAACTCTCCATGCTTTGTGATATTTCTGAGTTCACTAGAAAGTTAAATAAAGGTTTAATGTTCTCTATTAAAATTATTATTCTATTTAAAATTATAAAGGAATTATTAAAATTATAGTGCATTATACAAGATTTCTAATTTTTCCAGAAGATTTGTCTCCAGCACTGGGAAAGGATGTGATACAGCCTTTGACAACCTTTTTCAAAATGTGGTGATGACAGTCAGCTTTCCTCCACCTCTGTCAGGAAAGAAGGGATCTTCAGAGATCTTCCTCCTGCTTCTGCATACATTTGGTAGATGAATAAAAGAGGCAACATAAAACCACATACAGTGATAACTTACGGTAGATGTTTAGACAGCAGCCACATTTTCTTTTTAAAAAAATTGTATTTTGAGATTTAATTTAGTACATGTACTAGACCCTGTTTATCTTAGCTTTTTATAGAAGAGCTCAAAGTA